TACATCTAAAGTGTACACATCGTCTTCATTTGAAGCTTTCGTGACTGCAGGAATCCATACTCTTTGCTTCGTTCGTTAAAATCACGTAGGTAGGAAAAAATCATAGATCACGACGTTTCGATCGCAACACGAGCAGTGTTCTTGCTACCTACGTGACTTTACCGAAAGAACCAAAGAGTATGCACACAGCGTGATAATTACGTGAAACGAAGGCGTTGGGTTATTGTAAGTGGTGGTCTGGTTGTGATGAAATCAAACAAGAGGGATTGGATAAGGAGGGATGACCTGGTAGACCTGGCCATAGCTGGTGGCGCGGCAAAAAGCCTGGGGGGATGAAAAGTAACCGGGCACGGATTTGCTGTTCGTGACGATGCGTTTTCTTATACTTTGCAGAACACTTACAGAAAGCGCTGCAATTTTAAGCTGCACGGCACCGCTGCAAAAGCATACTCGGTGAATTGTAAGCATCAGTTTGAGTTCACCGTCGATTCTTGAAGCGCACATTGCGAGACATGCACAAGAAGAACACTGCATCATTGTGTAAATTCGACCGTGGACATGCGTGACTTAGAGCTTACAGAAATGCTGCACATGAAAGGCGGGGGGAGGGGTGGGCTAAAGCTTACGCCATGCTTTACCCTAATCCCAAAAGTCTGGAAATTGTAGGTTTAAGGGTTAACCTGTGTCACGTGTGTATTTTGATTGACCTCACCGGGCAGGCGGGGGGGGCCCTTCCTTCCTGGTGCCACGATACGCCTCCACGCCTCCCGGGCCTCCACGCTTCACTGTCACCCCTTGAGTTCCATGCATGGGTAGGGCCTCTCTGCTTCTTCCTCTCGGGTCAAAGATCATTTCCTGACTCTCCAGCAGCCTGTACTTGATTTGAGGCTTGCTGAAAAATATTGTCTACAACATGCTGGAGGTTGGGATGTTTTGTTGTGATGGTTGTTGTTGTTGCTGTTTTGAAGTTTTCCTGTGACTACAAACAATATCGCTGGATATATATTTGTAAACGTAGCTTTCTGCATTTGTTGGTGCTCACCTTTTGAGGCCAGCATTGTCACATGGGGGGTGCAGGGTCTTATCTTACACCTGGCCACCTTTGGCTCCCCAGTGCATAGCTGTAGTTTAATTGTTTTTGCACGTGTTATTTATATTTGGTCAAGAGCCACACTTCCTCTAAACGTATACAAATCTTATTGGTTTTATTTATTATTTTGCCGAATATTAACAATTATTCGTCTGCATCTAGTTTCGACTGTACTTTGTGGTCCAGTGCTCCCTTGCGAGAGCCTCTTGTCTCAATGAGCTCCCACGTGGCCATAAACAACGTTGATGCACACACTACGTGTGAGTGGAGTGGTGAGATTGTGGTCAGCGCAACGCTGGTATGAACCTGGACACCTGAATTTGATTCACAACCTTGGCCAACTTTGGGGGCAAGTGATATCAGAAACAATGCTGGGTCCCCAACCTTCATCAACACCCACACTGGCCAATATGGTGAAGTATGGTCAAACACCCACCATGACTCAAAAGTACGCGAAAGCCCTCACCCAACATTAGACCGATACAATCACACGGTATGTACGCATGCACATGTGTTTTAGGCTAAGCTGACCTAAGGGTGGCCCAGGACAAATTCGGTTACCAGTTTCCAATCGTGTGCATGGTCAACAACAGGGCCTGCATCGCTGGGACTGCAGAACATTGTGCTAAATAAATTAACCTCTACAATTTTCACTGACACATAAAACCATGGAAATGAGAATTGTTTATGATGTACTTGTACGAATGTAATATGATAAAATAACTACTAAAAAAATATACGAAGATGCTTACATTAAAATGAGTCAATTTATCAAGACAGTATATGTTCTGCATAATATATTATCAATTACAAGTAAAAAATAATTGTAAAAGATTGTGGAATAGATTAGCATATTGATTGGGCAGCATTGATTTTGCAAAGGTATCTTGCAAAGTGAACTTGCACTGAATATCGCTGCGATCCATGATACGGCACACACTTTAACTGGCCGATGAAGATCCATTATTGAGCCCAGATCTGAGTCGGTTAAAAAAAGCCCTGAAAATCTTTGAGAAAGTGGAACTTTCCACACTTTAATTGCCAACATGTGTATATCCTCATACTGGCTGCATTGGGGCATGCAAGTGTCAGCAGTAATTACAAAAGGCTTACATTTTTGTATGTATATTTTTTATTTATTAGATTTTTTTGGAAACAACTCTGAGACATTTGTGGCACTCTCTCTATACTGCTAATAGTTTGCTAATAACTTTCCTGCTCTGCCTCCCTTTTTCTCTGCTTTAACTTAAATGTTCCTTTTGTTAAAAAAATAACAGCCAATATTTGGCATTTTACAAACATCATATATGGAACATGTAATGTCCTACGAAAGGGTGATGCTGAGGTCAGAGGTTATCATTATTAATAATGTTTTTGTTACCTCACCTCCCACGGTTCTAAAAACCTGCAAACGCTATAACCATGGACAAATGATTTAGAAATAGTTGTTCTTAGATAAAGGATCACACTTACTTGAGCAATATCTTGAATTGGAATTGGCATGCGGTGGACAGCGTGTGGAATGTGCAACAAGAGAACTTAGCACGTGGCAAGCCATTCTAAGCACCGTTGAAATGAGAGAAGCACCGTTGTTTGATGATACGGCACAAGACGTACACACCAACTTCGTTAACGAAATGTATTGCTACGCATCATCAAGGATCGCTCTTAGAACACATGAAATCGTTTAGAGTACTGTACATTCTGCTGATAATATTTACGCTGTAAAACAGCTATCACACTTTCTGTCAATATGACTCAGACTTGAGAGAGGTCTGCGCAGCTGGCAATTGAACACATTTTTCACAGCACTGGGGCTCTCATTGTCAGTTGAACTGACCTGGAAAATGTACCGTTTGGTCGGACATCAAACCAACAAATCACTCATTCAATCAATCAATTAATCCATAACATCCTTGAAGATGCTTTTTGTAGAGGACAATACGTCATCATGAGGCAACAGCTATCATCCATTGGTATAACCTGTGAGCCTGCACCATCTGTTTAAATCTCACCTTACCGCTCCATGATGCTTCACAATCATTAGGTCATTACATCGACATTTTGACCTTTCCGTATATGTATATATTTATTTATTATTCCCATCCCTCAAATTGATACTTGGCAGTGGTTAAATAAATGACCTTGAAGACTAAATGAACACAAATGATTGGGCCCGACATATAAATTTTCTCTGTCAAAACTACATCGTAAGTTATCTTCTAAAATAAGTTCAACAGTTTTGTTTCTATTGAACTTTGTATACATCGAGGTATTTTTTCCCGTAATTTACCCTCGCAAGCCAAGTTTACGCGGTGGCAAATTAATGAACACTGTCGTCGCGTCCCCAACAGTGTGGCAGGTTTGAAATGCAAGGGATATATGAAGTACCACACAATGAATCTATATATATATACACATGCAGACTTCTCAAGAGTTGGACCAAAGACTGAACCTTGGACTGGGTCTTCGTCTTTTGTATCGCGGGGAGTTGAGCGGCAGCGTTCCTACGGTTACGTCGAGGTTGGCGAGTTAGACGGAAGGCGGCTTCGGGAGTGGCCTCGTGGTCACGGCAAGATGCTGGCAGCAGATGCTCAAAGTGGACAGTGTCGCCGCATGGGTTGTGATTCGCGATCGCGGTCGCAACGGTGGGATATTCTTGTTGGCGCATCGCTGGAACGGGATCGCCACATCTGCAGTGCAATTGTTCTGATGCGAATCTGCACTGGGAGGATAGTTCGTCGGTATTCTCTGTCTCGCATGCATTTCCTGATAAACCAGGATCACTTTATATTGAGGCGATTATTTAGTCTAAACCAGTGGTGGGCATTCCTCTGCAAGGCAAGTGAAACCAGACGAATCAAAAAGTGAGGCACTGCTGCTCAGCATCCAGTGTTTCCCGGTAAGCGTGATGTTATGTGGCAAGAGAAAGTACTGTGCACTGTACAAAGAGTCGTGCACAATTTGGGATACTGCACACTACGCCAATTTTATTGCTGTAAAGTCCAACAGAAAAAAAAACACACAATATAGTTTCTTAATTCTTAGCTCTTTCGGAAAAGTCACGTTGAAGGGAAACAATAAAATATATATAAAACAATAAAAATTCTCACGACGTTTCGACCATAACGCAAACGGTCATCATCAGGTGTGAAAAACCAACACCTGATGATGACCGTTCCCGTTATGGTCGAAACGTCGTGAGAATGTTTATTGTTTTATATGTATTTTATTGTTTCCCTTCAACGTGACTTTACCGAAAGAGCTAACAATATGAATTACTGCAGTCACGAAAGCTTTAAATAAAAAAAATATAGTTTCTCTTTAAAACTCCGTGGACCTGATTGTGAAGCATGCCACAAATATAAAGTTGGACTCCGAGGAGGCCCTTCCCCGTGCTTGTGTATGCCAAGTCAAACAAACAGACCACGTTTGTCACAAAGGAAAGCCAAATCCTAAAAGAAAAAAAACAAATGCAGACTGGGGAAGCACAGGGGAAAGGAGTCCCTGGAAGTCCGGTGTCACGATTCGTGACCATAAACGGGAGTAATCCTGAAGGCATTGATAAGACGTATTTTGTTTTTCTTCCTCTGCCAAAAAAACATAATCGTGAGATCTTTCTCACTCTCAACTAAAATGGTGAGGCCACAAATAAGTATGTATCAGAAGCCTTATGATCATGTGCATCGTTACAATAATATGAATGCTCTCTTTCCAAAAAGATTACACCAGCTAAAAACCTGTGTGCATTAGGTGGAGGGATAAAAACAACCCATACCCAGAGGTTATGGAGAGTTGAAAGTAGAATATGAAAAAATAGAAAAAATGAAACAGATGTAATCTTTTGGCGAGCTGCAACACGTGTAATGTAGGATGCGTGCGATGTGATCAGTGAGAAGACAACAACGTGTTTTTTATTACTTATTTTATTATTTTTTTAAATTTCAAAAGTTTTATAACTCCTACAAATGTTTGTGGAAGCAGCAAATATTTTAAAAATACTTACAACAATTACACACACGCACACAAAATATATATCAGAAGAAAAAAATCCCCAAAATTAAAACATGTGGGCAAAAATACTGTGTGCACAAAAATTTAAAACCATATATTTTTTGTACATAAAAGCAAGTGGTGATTGGAAGACAGTGCACTGAACTTCCATGTTATCTAAAACACAAATGTCTGACTTTAGTTCATAATTAGTACACACAGACATACATCATGCCTTCCAAAAACTGACTACCACAACATGACATTAACGATAATGTACAACATTTACAAGTCAATGCCTCTGCACTTAGAATTGTTGATGTTTCTCCTCTTCCATTGTTTTGACTTTTACATTTTTCAAAGTTTTTTTTCATAACAAGCACTGCATAAACAAAAGAAATTAAAAAAAATCCCAGCTTTCAATTGTCTCGTGGAATATCGGGATTTTTTTGAAAGATTTTAAGAACACAGATGTGTCGATTCCCATAGACGTCTGAGAAGCTGCACCCGAGTCAAAAGCCGCATGGCTCACAGGGTTATACCTAATAAATGAAACTGAAACATCTTTACCGTGAGAGTGAACGGCTTTTGCATGACTGGATTCCACAAGAATTGTAAGAAAAAAAGCTTTAATAATTACAATGTCACTGTGGTTTCGTGCACATTCCTGTGAACCTGGTGACCGGAGTTTATTTATCGGCCGATGACCAGCATGGTGAAGTATGGTAAAACGACTTCTATGACCAGAGGGGCCTTCTTTCAGTAATATTTTATTTCTATAATGATTTTCATACTCTCAATTTAGGGGCTTCCAATTGTACGCAACTATCTATTAGCTATTTTAGATCAGGGTTTCGCAGTTGTCACGACAACACTATAATCATTAGAGGATTCTATGGGATTCCCACAACCGTTTCTCAAAAGCTCACAAAAAAAAACACACAAACCAAAAAAACCGAAACTTCTTAGCTGGGGAAAGGGACAATCCTTGCAGGGTAAGTGAATAAGTATATCTACTGGTAGGTAGACATAGGATTCTGTACCGCAATGCATTCTGGTATACTGAGTTAACATACTGACGATTAACGTTAAAAAAGTTGACTTGATCAAGGCGTATTAATGTACATGTAGCACTGTGTGCCACACTTGGTATAACACTGCAGCCATGTCACCCAAGCATTTAGATCAAACTCTACATACGAAGAGCACACAAAAGATTAAAAATGTTTAAAGTTGTTGTAATGTATGCTTTAAAGTGACAAGACTTTTAGATGATTACCGATTCATATGTGCTCACATATTAAAAGTACAAGTGTAACATACATTAAACGATTTTGCAGTAAATGTTATGTTATTCATTTTGATCCCTGCAAGGAATTCCCGTTAACTAAATACGGCACAAATGGTGTAACGTTTTAACTGAGGGCATGTTGAATTTGTAAAGAAAACTTAACTTGCATGAACAGTTTTGCACCTCACGAATCAACCTTGCATTTCCCATCGAAAACATGTTTAGTTTTCATTATAATTCAAAATTTAATAAACACACATTGAAAAAAATAAAATAATTCATGCCAAATTCCTCCCCCCCCCCCAATCCCTCTCCAAAAAGAGTTAGCAAACGCTTCATTATTATTAATCTACCACGGTTTTTTGAGCATGTGACTTTCATGACAGGCAAAGCAACTCATGCATAATGGTTTTCCCTCACAGACTTGTTAGCAATAAATGTTGCTGGCAGCCACTCATGCAGGGATTCTCAAAACTCTTACGAGCCACACCACTCGACTTCTCTCTCACATTCACCAATGTGCTTCCCCATTCAAATAAGTTAAACTCGTTCAACGCCGCACGTGCCCGATGATTACCTCAACAGCCTTAATTTGCTTTGTGCGTGTCACGTGGAACCGTGTTTAACGATCATCGGGCCCGTGCAGCGTGGAAACAAGTTTACTCGTATTTGAATGGGGAGTAAATTGGTAAACACGTAGCATAGTGGATGGATCGTGTGGACTGGAGTTTGGGAAACCGTGCACTAATGTATGGGTCACACTTTAAGAGTGGGTGATAAGTCACTTGCCAGGCTACTATTTTGTCAAGTTTCACATTTGCCTGAAGTACAAGTCAACTTGGATGGCTCTCAGCAGGCACAAAAGCCAAATTAAATAAATAAAATACACGCCATTGGTAAGAAAACAACTTACACTATTCACTGGCTTGGGCAAAAATAAGGAAAACTAAAGGGCATAGAGTTGTTGCTGTAATTGCCATTGTCAATGTAAGTGCTCAAAGTCTGAGAAGTGGAGAAAAAGGCAGTAGAGAACATCCTAGGAATGACACTTGTGAATTCCTAATTCATGTTTATTTGACAGTATAACACAGAGAAGGTTCATATGGATAGGTTTTCTTTACAATCTTACAACATTTTATTCATGTGAACAAAAACGCTGTAATCTGGATTCTCTAAAACGCTTGCAGTGCCTCATGCAAAGGTTACAAATAAGTTAGTGGCAAAAAAAATAAATAAAAATAACAAGATTAAAAAAAAGCATCTTGTTATTTCAGAAATTATCTACACAGGCAACTAAATATTTGCCACTAAAATATGAACGAAATAAATTATTACAAAATAAACCCCAATGAGACCTAACGTCTTGTGTCATTCAAATTATCGGACAGAATAACAATTTGTCTAAGGAAGAGTCAATCTGAGCTACAGAACAGGCTACAAATTATTATTTGTCATCAACATACACACTGACAGCCGTGAAATTATTGCGAGAATATAAGCATTTGCAAGTGGCACAAGAGCAATAACCCAAATCGCGATTCGGCATTCAGACTTCCAGTTGTAGGTAACCTACAGAGGTCGCAGAGAGATATCGCAGGAATAACCAAGCACAGCCCCCCCTCTTCTCCCCTCTAAAGCCCCCTCCACACCTGAGCGATCAACAAAATCGCTGAGCAGATCGCTTGAAATCGGAAAAATCGGTCTCCACTCTGAGCGATCAGTTTGCTCAACTTGCTAGGAGAGATACGCATTTTCAAGTCAGTTGCACGCAAACAACTGGCGCTGTTTGATGGCTCAGGTGTAAGACCCGGCTTAAGATGACGCTTGTTAAATACCAGCACACATTATGAACACTACAGTTTTTTTTCAATTACAACTGAAAATGACACTCCACTTTTGGCATCTCTCTTAAAGTCTGCACAACCAAGATTACGTCCAGTCGATCCAATGGAAAACCTTCATGAAAACAGAGAGTACTCGGTGACGTTTTCTCTGAATATAGACGCAGAACCAAAATCTGTTTGAATTAATGGATGTTTTATTACACATGTCCGTCTGTCTGTTAACCTACAGCTGCAGAATAATTGTAAATGAAATCTGCAATTGACAGATACAATTATATTTTCAACTTTTAGCAAGGGCCATCGTAAGACGGCACTTGTAACGGTTGCTGAATTCAATCACCAAAAAAGGTTCCACATCCAACCTTCATAGTTTGTCTCGCATTCACGGTGCAGTGTCCTCGATTTCCATAGCAGATGTCATGGGCAAAGACCCCAGAGGTGGCCCAGGGCACGCTGGTGGGACGGTGTCGCTCGGCCGGCATGAGAACGCCTGGGAATTCCCCATGGAAGAGCTAGAGTCTGTGTATCGTAGTGTAGTGTATAGTGTAGTGTATCGTGTAGTAGTCTATAGCAATGTAGTGCTGGAGTTCGTCGCCAGGGAAAGGGAGGTCTGGACCACCCTACTCAATTTGCTGCCAGGACAAGCAGATTGAGAAACTAACGAATTGAGGCGACTATCCTTTAAACCGCTCTGTGGTACGCCGTTTGAGTATGTTACATACTCACAGTCAGCATCGTTCATGTTTCAACAACATTCTCGTCTAGAAGCTTGCAGAGTTCAGTGTGAATTGAAGGAAGGCATCAGTTTAAGCTTTTTATAATTTAGAATAATATTTTTTCGCAATTTGGTCAGAATAGTCAGTGATATCCTTCTGGGGACACTGACATACTATCATAACTTTGTGTGATAAAGTTTGAGTAGCAGAGGGTACATTTTTATTTTTACAATTGATATTTTTTTCTTCATAATAATGTGCGGTCATGGAAAATGTACATAAACCAATGTGTTTTTATTAGACATACTTCTGGCAGGGTATTATACTGAATTAAGCTCCAAGTACTCTGATAAAATATCCTTTCGCTCTCACTCTTTTCCTCTCCTATGCATCAAAGCATAATAATATTTTTGGCATCTTAACCTTGTACTTGTTACGTTGGAACCTTGCTGCGAATTTTCTTTTCATGCGAAGACAGATGTTTGAAAATATACATACATAACGTTTGCATTTTATTCTCATCGCTATTAATTGGACGTAAAGAGTTTTCAGAACAAAAATATTTGTTTTATTGTTGATACCAGCCACTACATAACGCAGTGCCTTAAAAACGTGCAAGAAATAATACATTTAATACAGTACTAAAAGGCTAAAACATAACATTTTTCCTGCAGTTATATGATTCAAATGTAACAGATAATGTAAATAAAAAAATCTAGCAAGCTAAAAGAATATTATTAAACAAGATCTTCAATATGAAGACTAATGTTTAAGGAAACTCTGCAGCTAAATGTATTATTTCGCAATGATAAACTAGGAGACGACGACTTGGTGCAGTTGTGACATGTTTGACCTTGAACTCAAAAGCCAAACGATCATAACAATAATAATTAGGCAGCAATATTAATAGCCGCTTGTCGGCGAAGTTGATCAACCAAGTTCTAAGCAGCTGCTGCGGACAGCATTGTTTCTGGAGTTGTTGCATCTCTCTTTGCTTCATTGCCTAAGGATTGACGTTTAGCGGAACGGCATTGACGCCCAACGCGGCCAGAGCGGACCCTTCTCCCCTGCGTGTACGCGTCCGTGCACCCACGCGCAATGCACTCGTGCAGCGAAGACGTTGCCGCTCGTTTGCTCCTGTGTCGTACAGCAGCACGTCCTTCCTCTGGAATTGTCCTTTGGAGACACCATTAAACAATGCTTCACCTACGACCTTCCACAATTAGGTCTTTTAGAGGTCCCATTGAAGTGTCCTGCTCGCAAGTAACTTGAAGACTGATAAACAAAACCATTTGTATTTTTTTGTTATATTTTTTCGGCTTATTTGTGTTTTTTTTTTACTTATTTTTAATTCCTATATATTGGTGAAATATTATAAAGCGTTGATACATGCATCTGTGACTTTGAACGCCCTCCAAAGAACCCCAATGAGAGTTCTCGGTTGTACATGGAAGGTTCTTGAGATGGTAAAGAAATCTTCTGAAAGATCTCAGTCTTGACATCTATCACACATCAACGTCACTAATGACATTAACCACAAAAGAAAGTCCAGACGATGTCACGTAATGAGCAAAGACCGCACAGATGATGTTTTCCAGCTGGGACAAAAAAAACAAGTACTATGATCTCACAGGTGCCTTCATGAATGATCTCAACGGTGACGTGATCAAGTGTATTCAGTTTAACAGCCGGATGTATTTCTGTACGCTTTAGTGAATGTCTTTAGCTCAGATGTGTGCATTTTCCCATCATGGCACATCTGTTGACATCAAAATAAATGTACTGCAATTGATTTTGGAAGTGTCTCATCGTGGCATCCGCCAGTGGCACAAAGCAGATTTCCGCCGGCTCTTCAAATTTCTCTTTTCAGGAAATCCGCTTTGATGTCCTCAGACTTGCACCGTTTGAATCTGGTTCATTTGCACCCTCATTGTCTGGATACTGTTGAGGATCTTCTTCTGGTGTCCAGCCAGGGTAACTCCTATCCTTAAGATGTCCCTAAGGGGATTATACAGAAAATAAAAAAGCAATGAAAACATTTTGTTAGATTCTCTTGGAATAGCTTCCACGTGTCTCTGTGCTCCAGGTAACTGCTGTACACAGAGGAGAGCTCACAGGTACGATTTACATGATAGGTTCTTTATATTTAAGGAGCAAGACCTTTTGGCTTACTATAAATAAGTACATAATAAGGCTCTATATTGTTATTTTTATCAGAGGTGGGAATCCATTGAGAGGAACATCCTAAACCCCTAGTGAGAATATAACTGATGAAACACCTAACTAAGGAAGTCATCATAACGGTGATAAGCAGTGAAAGTAGACATTTTCAATCGGGTAAGTTATCGGTGAAATCGGCAGTCTAAGCAGACCTAGGAAGAAACAAGTAAATATTATAAGTAAAGATTGTGTGGAACGCATTCTCCTAAAATGGAGTGCTTTTGCAGAAGACGTAATTGCCAGGCAGCAATGTGCTGTACGCGAGTGTCCTTTTGCAGCCATCAAAGCACACACAATACATCAAAGTGACAAACAAGATACACTGCAGCCAATGTGGTTCAGAGCACATCACATCCAATTTCTTCTGCACCCTCACATTTATCGATATTTGTCATTGCCTTTCAGTATCATTGCAAGCGCCGCTTTGTGACCCTCCATGTGACATTGGCAAAAGCAAGACGTCAACGTGGAACCCATCGGATGCTGTGCTATCGCAAATATATATATTTTTTAAATGCACACGTGTATTTGTGTGTGCGCACGTGTTTGCGTGTGTATGTTGTATCATACCAATACTATGAGCGCTTTAATACCTATCAACTCAAAAGATGAATGTCTAGTTTCATACCCCAGTGTCATTTATAATATGACCTTCTATTGGAAGTGGCTGGGTGACTCAGGGGGTTAATGCTTATGTCACAGTACTAAGCCAAAAACTTTGAGTTGAGCCCCAGGGGCAGACAAGTGAAAAATGAATGCTGCCCTCTCGCTGTATAAGGGTTCTCGTGTGTAGTGAGTTTGATGGCTTGGGACCTGTCACTGATGATTGCAACGATGGAAAAAAATAACCCTCACTGTCCCAAAATTGATGATTCCATGTGACTTCATGTCACGTGGCTTTAAGGGGACATATTCCCAGCTCATTCAATAGCGGGTGCTCTGCAGGTACCAGTTGGAAGAATGCGGAAGACATACAACATTCGGTACCTAGATTGAACGAGATAGTTGTCCAACTTAATGTAGAACCAGGAAAGGCCTTTGTTTCATACTCACAAATTACTAAAATTGTGCGGCAACGGGAAAAAAATGCAAATGTACTTGATGTAACCTAAGACTCTTTGCGTTGGGCGGCAGTGTCAGTGTGTGTAGCTCTCCAATGGAAGGGTGTGAGTTCAAATCCCAGTTGGGGGTCCCACTCAGCCATTCATCCATTTGGGGTTGATAAACAGAGAAGCACTTCTTGGGAGGGAAAGTCAACAGTGGACGTCCTTTAGATAACCTCACCCACACCAAAGGAATGTGGAATTTCCACCACTGGCTCATGATTGTCAGCGGGAGATGATCAACAACCCCGTGTTTGTTTGAGAGAGAAACCACCTCTCAAAAACACGTGAGTTAAAATCAAACGTGATACATCTGTGTAATCACTGCTGTGTATATTAATTTTTTCTCATTTTAGGCAAGGTCGAAACTTACTCGGCAGTCATGCGGGAGACCAGGTCAAAGGAGGTGAAGCCGGCACTGGCAAAGTTGTCCTTGTACCGACCCATCTTGATGGCATCCAGCCACTCATCCACCGAGCCAAAGCTGGCAAAGTCAGGCACCGACCGGTCCAGAAGTGGCTGTGAGATACTGCAATAGCAACGATGGCATGTCAATAAGGATGCTCTCACTGTCACGTTCACCCCATCTCGCAGTACAGAACATCGGCGACATGAAGGGTACATGCCTATTTTTAGATGTCGTTAAATACTGCATGATCATTGGTAAAGGTGCAGCCCTAACATTGCTCGATCACACCGCTGCTGACAGAAGGGCCTACACAAAAGGGGGCTCTAGAGAGACCCTCTGTGTTATCATGTTGGCCTTCTGTGCTGACCGAATGTCTGGCTAGGTAATATGGTCATTAAAAGGTGAAATGGGGAAAAAAAACACGTAATTCCAAAATGTCTAAATACTTTTCTTGCACAATTTATTGTGAATATTGTGCATTATTTGATCTGTATTTAAGACAGGTACGAAGTTGCAAAGATAAGAGGGTGGTAGCTCTTGTAATTCAGAGCATCTCTCTTGTTGGTGGCATATATTTTAGCAATGGAAAGGGAATGCAAATAACTGAAGAATAAAAAAAAATAGGCGTATATTTTCAAGGTAAACGAAGATGTTGTGAGCCAGTGATGAATGGGCAAAATAAAAAATGTTGTGGGTCAAACCCAGCTTCACTTTTTATTTCCTGCCAAGGCATGCATTACAAACCAGCCTGGCGAGGGCCTATCTGGTATATCTATGGCCTGACCTCGCAAGTGCTGGCCATCTCTTATCAGCCATGGCTTCTGTTACCTCATTATGGAGATAATCACCAAAAACCGCAGTCCGAAGAAGAACCTTTTATACACATGTACCTTTGTTCACGATGAAACAAAAAAAAGTAGCAAACAAGAACACGGCTAGCTAGCTATTTTCTTTTTTTGCCCAATTCCAGTGCTCACACTTAAAAAAAAAACTACACTGAGACTGAACTTCTTTTCTTTAATTTTTTTATATTTGAGTTTTAATTGGTTGTTGATTTACCAAAAAAAGCCAGTCATCTCTGTGCAGCCCTGCACTGAACCAAAATAAAAAGCACGGTGCTCCACTTCCAACGTGACTTCCTTTTGGTTCTCAAATCAGCAAAATTGTAATTAAATTATCCGTGTGCGCTGCATGACTTTGAAGCTACTAATGATGCTTTATCATTAAAATGCTATTTTCAAAGAAATATTATATTATTTTACAGTGCATTAGCATAAAAAAAACTGTTCACCCATACTCAAGCCTCATATTATTTGTGTATATAGCTTTACTTAATGAAGATGCATTTTTTTAATGGTGCACACTTACTGCTCAGATTTTAGGAATAAACCTTTCCATACTTAACATTGCATTCTATAATATTTTACCATCATCATCATCAGTCATCAATTTGTATCAACCACTGGTTGAAGGTCTCCCTACGCTATCAACATCCTTCATGGTGCAGTGCTGTCGTCAGCATCTCACTCCTGCGTGAACTGATCTTATCGCTCCATCTCCGCGGTGGTCGTACTCTTGGGGACATTCTCTCCCCCCCCCCCCTTTTCACTGCCATTCCATCACCAGTCTCGTCCATCGGATGTATTCATGGCAAACACTATATATGTTTGTACTCCATATTAATGTAATTATTATGGTTATAATATAGAATCACGAACATACATTACATACATCAGCACGTGCTGTATGTACTACGATGTACGTTTTCATCGTTGTGCTGTATAGCTAGCTCTCCGATGGGTTTTACCATATGTTTGGAATAATGTCCGGCGTTTCGCTGCATTGCTCAGAGCTTCTAAAGGAACACAGTTCCTGAAGAAGCTCCCAACATGTGGTGTGAAACATCGGACATCGATGCGGGACAACACGCAGACGTGTCCTCACGCTCAAACGAGCAATGGGACGTCCTCTCCGATGGCAGCCCTAAAACAAATGCCAGAAACTCCACATTCCTATGGCAAGGACCAGTCACTCCACGAGGACACCCACGTAGTACGTGCGCGTTGTTTTTTTTAAATAACACACACACACAAAAAGTTTCGACGTGTGCCCAGGGTGACATTTTTAGATTAATTTAAGTGTAATTTATCCATGGTGTGATTAAGTAAAAAAAAAATACATCTCTTAATTAAAAGTAAAGGTGGGGTGGGTGGGGGTGGTAGTGGGGTGGGCGGGCGGGCAGGCTGTTATTGACAGGTGGGTCCTAAATGCTGCGTGTCTACACAAGCGGGTGATTGTGCAGCCCACATCCTCTATGGCTCCCCACTCCCGCACAGCACAAAACTAAGAAACATGACCTCTCCCAGTGATGGAAATCAGATAACGTCCGGTCTGGTCTCTCAGCTGCCCCTCTTGGGAATAACCTGTTCCCTCTTAACCGGGTGTGCAATAACACATATGAGCAAAATCATATGTGTGTGTGTGTGTAATTAGGCAATTAGTTAATTAAAAAATTAGCACCAGGTGTATGCAGAGTGTTTTTTTTTTAATATTTTTTTTTGGGGGGGGGGGGGGGGGTGGGGAATTACTATTACGACTTTTTAACATGAAACTCAATTACATTTAGGCGATTCGGGTGTACAGCGATTACAAGGTTGATTTTGGCCGGGTTGAATGAGAGGTGGTGGGGAGGAGGCTAGGTGTGTTGCAAGGTGAAACCTGTCAATTAGTTTCTGTTAAATTTAAAATAAAAAAAAACAATGCCAGGTTAACATTGCGTAATACTTCTTAAAATCCACTTAAGGCAGACAGAAAATTAGCGCCAAAAAAGAGCCACCGAGGCCCTAAGCAAGCAAACATCTGCAACAAAAGCCTCAGCCTAATGTAAATGTTATGTGCATGGCTAAAAATGAAGTCATCCTTCAACAAGTCTTCAAGGCTACCTCAATTTTGGGCCAGATAATGTTCTACCAATCAGTAACATTCCCCTTCATCTCTGAGTTTTATTATGAACATAAGATTATAATTACACAAGGCATATGTCGCTTATAGCAGTTCCAAGTCTGACAGCTGGTACCAGACTGCAGAATGAACAAAGTCGACTGAAAATCTATTTGGCTTCAGACTGTTTGCAATTCCCCCAGGCTTGTACTGCATTATCAAAGAAACAGGCTTACTTTAGAACACCCAATACAATATTTATATGGTGCTTGCATAGCTACTTGTAATCAACTATAAGTGAGTAAGAAGTTATCTTCTCTTTGACTATACATATATATTTAATCAACTGGCCTGGCGAGTATAAAACCGTAATCTCGCAAGGCCATTAAAACATGAAGCAACACACAAAGCAATTATCTCTCTGAATTCGAAACTTAATTTAAAGTTCGAAAATAAGGCACCATAATGCTATTTAAATAGTAATATGACTTTAAATTATATACGTGGCTGGAGTGATGGGTGGAAAAAGTGGTTAGCACTGTGCGTTATGCATTCCCTGATATGGCAAAAAGCAGTGGTGAGCGATATCTGAACTAGCCCCGAGCCTCCCACTTCACCGACATGCACTGACCAGTGTGGTAAAGTATGGTCAAACAACTCCCGTGACCCACATGGAATGGGAAGGCCTTCACCCAGCAGTGGTTTGACAAAGGGAAGCAAATTACTGAATTACTGTTATTACAAACTTCTCAACCACGCTCTTGCTAAACATCGCGATCGGCTTGCTAAACCGTTGCAGACCAGGGCAGCTCACCGGGCAGCACTTTACCAGCGTGAAGCACGGTCAAATAATCCATAACACCCGCACGGCGTGCGAGTAGGCCCTCAACAGAAAACGTGTGGACAAGGGGGCTGCACATATACCTCGTTTAACAGTGCTCACGCATACGCCTGCGAAGAGGACACTAAAGCTGATAGCTAAACTCGAGAGCAGGGCAAAAGCGAGGACCATTGTGTTCAACACTTTGCAAGTGTCTCTCTCTTCTGCCCGTCCATAGACAGGGTTTAAGCAATGATGTGGCTATGGATGCTGTGGAATCTTTCCGGACACCCCTCCCCCTATCTCTCCTCCGCCTCTCCTTGTACCATCTCGTATCCATCTCCTCTGTCAACCTCATCCTGCCTTGGCTTTCCTTCGACGTATTCTTGGGTCACGGCTGGCCAGTACCATTCTTCCCGCTGTCTGTGTACTCCGATCCCTGTACTGTCGTTGAGACGCGGAAATAAAATAGAGGGAGGGGAAAGGCTGCGGCATGGAATTTGGTTTCGTAAGCTCGCTGGAAGATTAGTCGAGAGTTTTCTCACCATGTTTAGTTCGCGTCTGGCACCACAAAGCGAACAAGTCGTAAAAAAAAAAGCCGTTCCTTTTTTTTATTACACAGAGAAGAAAAAAAGGACAAATAGTTTCCACCACTTTGGTAACAAAATACTGTAAATAAGCTGTCATTTGCCAGACCGTTACAATTATTTTGGTTACAATCCAGGAGCTGAGGAGCCAAAGTTGTTTTACTGCAGTTTGGTCAAAGTGTCCTGGGAAAAAGGCTCAATGTTTACGAATGCGTGCATTCGTGTATTTATAAATAGTCGTTTAGAAGGTCAGAATATGCCCCTGAACGATCGGAATGTTCAAGAGTTGACAACCCACACAGAGAACAATTGGTTCATAAACTCAATAAATAACTTAAGATATAAAAGGAGACGCAGTGATTGGAGGACAATAAATAATCTAAGAATATCACAATCACCATTTAGAAACGTGTGTTTTCACAGCTCTTATCTTATATGGATGTATATAGCGCCTTATTCCAGGGTGCTTTACAGCAATACAGCTGTGCTGTGCAGCCCTCTGGCACAGTTTTGATCCTGGAGAAGCTCCCAGAATGTGCGGCGAAACATCAAACATCGTGCCAAACGCATGGCACAACCCAAAAAAAAAAAAACATGCGAGAGAGAGGTAAAAAAAAAGCATGCTTGTGTTCGGGCAGGATATTTCACCCGTAGAAATACAACCCCGCTTAACAAAGATCCACAAAGGGGTGAGCGGGGGGTGTGCAACAAAACCACAGCGCCGTGTAGCTAGCAGCGGATAGAGAACGGTTGAGAATGGGCATTCCCTGTAAGTGTAAACATTCAAATGGAAACTGACCCCGGTGTGACGCAGGCGACGGTCTTGAGGCTGGCCGGCGTGCGAATGAGTTTGTCCAGGGTGTTGACGATCTGGCCAAATTTGGGCCTTTCATTGCGTTCCTTCTGCCAGCAGTCGAGCATGAGCTGGTGAAGGGCGGCCGGGCAGTCCATGGGTGCCGGCAGCCGGTAGTCCTGCTCGATGGCATTAATCACCTGCAGAGCAACACAGAGGATCATCAGCATTGAGAATTCATCGCGGGCAAAGTCACCGATGCCACATGCGCCAACACCTTCAGTCCTATGCCATATCCTGGCAGCTGCAGTAGAGTTAAACGCGTAGCGACTGCCTAAATCTGCCCGAACATCTTCCCCTGCCCAGAGCATGGAGAAGACAATTTATTTATAAAAAAAACAACAGCGCACGCATCCTGTGTTCTGCTTCGTACGCATATGAATGCACACTAATTTCACGTTGATGGTGAACATTATGAGTAATAACATACATTAAGGGGAGCTCTGTTGCAAATATGATTCATCTCCAGGAATATTTCGATCAGTAAGTAGCATCTGAGCCTACCCTGGATATCCCCTTAGTGGTCAGATCAACCTAGCGTGGTGTGAGACACATCACACCAGGCCGTTAAAGATAAAAAGTTGCCTGCCAGAGTGCTGCCAATGCCAACTATGCATGTACTGTGAGAGTCACAATGTGTGCTCGCCAACACCACTTGTTACCATCGTGTATTTTACCAAATGTAGTATATTTATCTTCGTGTGTGCGTATTCTTGACTTATACGGATGATCTTTCTTTTTTTTTATCTTGCCTTATTACGTTTAGGATTTTGTAAGAAATCCACAGAATCTACAATTAAACAGGTCGAAATTGTAACCAGGTACCTAACCAGTGATACTTTTATGTATTATTTCAAACAAACGAATTTCACCCCCCATTGAAAATATGTGCATATTACAAATGATAGTTCATAATGGGAAAAGTTCAAAGGCAATGCTTTAAAACTCAATTTACATCAAATAAAAGCATGAAAGATGGTCTCGCCATTAATGTTATTAAAACATAAGTAGATTATGAATACATTTGTGCCGGGAGGAGGACAATTACATCTTGTGATACAGCAGCTGTTTTATATCCTAGAAAAATATCGATAAAAAAGTACATCAATAAATTATAGAGTTATTCATGTTATGCACATCAAAGGAGCATTTGCACTTATGTTTCAGCAAATTAAAATACCATAATTGTTTATTTAAGAAGGCATCGATGACGTCAGCTGACAATTGGCTTTTAAATTGTATCCGTTTCTAAAGTAGTCAAAAATAACAACGATGATTCCAAATCAATTTCTTATTTTATCATGTTAATAACACAAACTTTAAAAACAGAACTACTTTGCAACTACAATGGCATATACATGCGATTTTTGGAGGCAATGCTGGATTGCCAGAGTTCAATTCTTGCAAAATAACTTTGTGCCATTAAAATACAGAGTCGCCACTGCCCACAAGTTCGGCACTATCATAATCAGAAAATGTATTTATACTGGAGGAATCCGATGATCTATAAAGCTGTTTTTCAGAGATGTCAGCTTGCCATGAATCATCAGCTTAGAGAATCTGGAATTTAATAAATAAACACAGGCTTACAACATTAAGAATAACTATCTTCATTTATATTAACCCAGGGACCCAAGTTTTATTTCCACTCACGGCCAAGATCAGTGACGATTATCTGAACCGGTCTTGGGCCTGCCCTAGGTCGACACAGCCTCAAATGAGTACCTGGTGTGGTGTGTAAATATCGCCACTGGAGCGACAAACGGGAGTGGTACTGGCCACCCACCCCCCGTTCCGGCCTTCATAGGTGCTACTCGCTAACACTTGCCCCAACAGTATGTTAAGGCTATACGGGGATATCTTTGTCTTTATATATATTCGTGGAAATATTTGGATCAATTAACAGGTAGCATTTCCCACTCCAAAAAAATGTTTCGTTTCACATTTCACAGCCAGATCGGTGACTTCCACACAGACAGCCGTGACCCAGAGGTGACGTACGTGTGTAGAGCCTGACCCAAAGTCGGATTCGCACACCGCAGATCTTTGGAGTCTTTCGTAAACAGACGGTGGCGAGGCGTTTATTTGTTTCTGACTGTCTGAGCCGAAGCGATATTGGGCTGGATATTGTGCAGGGGAGAAGGCTAATGTGGGTGCTGTGTGTGTGTGCGATTACCCCGAAAATGTTTGTATCTGACTATGAGACCCCCACAAAAAAATTTGGGGGACCTTTATACATCCGCAAAGGCGTAGCCCTACGGGAAAATGCTCGATGAATGAATGATAAAGCTTGTGGATGGTGGCATTTACGTAAAAAAAACACCGATTAAGCTGACGACAGAACCTTTAAGTACACATTAGTGCTTTGAAACAATAGTTTATGTACCGAAGCAGGAGCTAGTAGGTGCATAGATTTGTGACCTGATTATCGTGCAGTGGGACGAGGAAAAAAATGGGAGGCAGAATTTCGTGGATCCTCCCAGTGAAGGAACCAATTAGCCACTGGGAAACACCGCGTTCACAGGGCACCCCCGACTTCCAAAGCATGGCCGCGTCCCTGCCATTGTGCACATACTTCAGTGACACCTGCACTCACGTTGGGGCACTTTAATAGGCAGAAAGGAAATGGTGGTAGCCCAGGGAAGTCTGGCTCACCGCGGAATGGTTCCAAGCACTTTTTTGCAAACCGCCGACGTGTAAAGAGTGGGTGGAGCGGTGGTGCGGTGGTTTGCGCACTGCACTGTCAACCTCAGGTGACCTGAGTTTGATTCCGCTGACCAAGGCTACCATCAGTGGAGAGCGATGTCTGAATCGGGCATGGGCACCTCCCTTGAGCTCACACGAATTGATGAGCACGGCCTAGTATGGTCAAAACAATCTCCAGGATGAAGACGACGTGGGAAGTCCTTCGTCCACAGCGGTGATTTACAGAAGGCTGTAAAATATTACGATAATTGTTTTACATAAACAGTGGCTTGAACGGTGATGTGTTTCCCGTGGTTTTTTTTGTTCTCGTAGAACATTAGTTAGACATGCTACACGTTAACGTGCGTCTATTTTCACAGGTGTGAAGGGACCAGCAGGGAGTTTAAAACTCGCAGTCTCCATCGGAGGACTTTCAGATGCTTTCCTCAATAGAAATGTGTAAATGCAACTGGTATCACCTTTATGTCTTGGTCGCAATGTAAAAGGCATTGATAAAAAAACGCAATATTAAAAAAGAACTATTTATGTATATCTCCCCACAATAAAAATCACATCTCTGCCATGAAAAACGCCCATTGCCCGAAATCGAACCTATTATGTTTGTCTCTCTCTCCCTTTTTAAGCAGTGCGATTGACATACGTGTTGAGTGATTGTTAGTCGTGCTTGTGCACCACTGCCTATGCAGTATCAGGCGTATTTTCTGTTGCATTTTTTTCTTCTTCTTCTCTTCTTCTTCTTCAGAAAATTCCTGCTCAGTAACGTCACTCAGAGAGAGATGTTAAGCTTTGCTATGCTTGGGATCTTTGGATAAGCAAACCAAAAACTCAGGCGGTCTGAGCAAAGAGGAGTGAGAGCCTTAGCGACCAGCCACACGAGCTAAGCACGGCTAACTTGGAGGGAAAATTAAGTTAAATCTCTTGGTTTTCAGAGATCCATCCTCCCCGGTTCTTAGACACTTTGATTGCGCTACCCTCTCAGTGTCAGCACAGGTCAAACAAACACACACACACACATAGAGATTACTTGTCTTCCACGGGATTAATTTTTACCACATCCTCTTAAAAACCAAGGGATAGATCTTTGCTTCACACTGACTGGTGTCTCGCCTGGACATAATCTTGGCTGGACAATGATAGAATGTGCTCAAAGTTTACGAATATAAATAGGTGTGTGCAAAATTATATCGAAAGGCCTTGTTCCTAAAAAGTTACCAACATTTGTTGATTGGTATACCTTGTTTGCTTGCATGCAAACAAAGTATGCATATGAAAGCTTTTATTTTACATATCGGCAACGTCCATATTTAAATGTGCACTGTTTTTGGTGCAACGTGGCACCTACATGTATATTATATATGTGTCTCGCAAGTGTACAAAAAAATAAGTTTAAAAACTCAAACTTCATGCATCAATAAACGATCTTTCGTCAATGGGCGGTGAGGGAATACATATACATATTTGACTTTGAATAAACAGGAAGCTTTGATACGCAGGAAGCCCATAATCACTCAAAATTGCAGCTATTGACACCACATGGTCAGTGACCTATGAATGAGTAAATGCAGGGCCACTGCCTCAACGGTCAGTACACGCAAGCCAACATCATTCGGGTTTTATGTTTGCTGTTTGTTTGCTGAGAAAGCCCATGTCAGAACAATGAACTATAATGGCTGTGAAACACTATGAGCTTGTAATTGTAGCTTCAATCTCCCCCGCACTGCCAAATATTCCCATCTTGCCACACCACTTCTTTATACCTCCCCGTTCCATGCCACTGCCCTCCCAAGACTGCCCTTTGACCCCAAGGCCCTCATTTCTTGACCTGAAACCAGTAAATGAATCTCCTAAAGTCTCTAAATTACTCTCTAGTATCGGAATCCCATCAACCATTTTTATAGTGATGGGGCGATGCATTACATGACAAAAAAAATGCTGAATGAGATCATAAAGCGCTGGAGGAAAATGTAGAGGAGAAAATAAGATAAATCACGAAATATAAATTATATCCTCCCATTGATTTGTACACTCATGGCCACAATTATGTTACAGCTACACGTATGCAAGAGATGCGATTGAGTAAGTTACGTTTCAATTCACATGGCTTAAATTCCATTTGAAACACTGTGCTGAGATTAACTTTCTCCATTTAATCAAGTTAAGAACTTTTTAATGCATGTCGACAAAGACCTTTGTTCTGGAGTCCATACATGTGCCTCTCTTGTGAACAGTAATGTGATTTCCAACATTTATGCAATTAAACCTGCGATCCATATAACTCTGACACAAAAGCTACTATTGACTCTGGTCTGGCCTTCTAGCTCTGCCCATAACCCGTAACCAGGTTAAATACGACCTGCAGTGAGGGGAAGGAAATCCGAGTGGGCTTTAATTAGAGGATTAGTTAGGGTCTGGTAAATAAGGAACAAAGCTTAAATAGCAGCAGGGACATATATAGTTGTATTGCCATGGGTCAGTTTAATTCAATAGTGGGATTGCAGGGGGGTGGATGGCTTGGGCTAGGGTAAGAGATACAAAGTTCAAGCCGAATGCTGTCTCACTCGTGAAATTTTAATGATCGCATTTGAATAACGCATCCTCAGTTGGCATCGTTTTTTTCAGAAGCGGATGTCAATGCATGCGCGGCTTGTTCAAAGCGTTTAACTGAAGGATGTCCTACATGAGCACCCACAACCCTATGTTAGTTTTTTTTTTCAATTCTCTCAGCAGGATTAACAGTTCTAAATCTATCATTAAATCACTCGGATTGCCCCGATCCCATCAGACCTCGGGTTAGCCTGCATCATGCTATGATAGGCGACCGCCATGCGCAAAAGGCAGGCATAGTCAGAGTTGTTGTTCTGTCGTCCCCCCCCCCCCCGCACCTTCACAACCTGCACGGTGAAGTATGGTCAAATAAGCCTCACTACCCGCAAGGCGTGTGTGGGAGAGAGGCCGCCAATCCAGCAGTGGGCTTCGACAAAAAGGAAGGGCTGCGTATGCACACATGCACGTTAGCGCTGTGCACGTTAGCGCTGTGCACGTTAGCGCTGTGCACGTTAGCGCTGTGCACGTTAGCGCTGTGCACGTTAGCGCTGTGCACGGGCTCGTGTCGTCAAGACACGGCTAGGAAGCACAGCCCACCCCCCCCCCCCCCCCCCAGCACTGCTGTTTGGTGTGCAGTTCCAAGGAAGGGGGTGGGTGGATCAGCCCTTGGAGAGCGGCGACTGTCATTAAGGGGTTGCTTTTTTGGTAAGGGGGGCAGGGGAAGGGGGGGGGCACGGCATAGGCAGGCCGAGAGGATACGGGGGGGGGGCTCTTACCACGCAGTTCCTTGGCCATCGTAATTAGGCCATCACTGTTTCTCGCTGCAGACAGCCGGGTCACATTTTGAATCCAAAAGGGAAACACCCTTATTAAAGACAATTATTCTCATAGTCATTACTGTCATCGTGAGTAAATGTAGTGGGAGGAGAAAATACGTTTTTTTTTAACCCTACTATTGTCTAAATTCGACACACTCAAAACACTGAACAAAAAATGCTGCAGTACTCGTGGATATGTATTAAATATGCATATAATGAGATTAGGCCAGGAATGCTTGCTATGGGTAGACAATCCTTTGAAAACCATAGGGACCTCTCCGTACTAAGATGCCACAAGGCACGAGGCATATGGAACACGGATTATCATATACAGTTCATATCAGTTCAGCTGCTTAATATAAACATGGTGAGAGCTGACTGAGACAATGTGTATCTCTTACAAAGAGAGTCGTAGCTAAACTTTAAGATATAATGCAAGGGCGATATGTACGGACATTAAGATAAAAATGCACAAAATCTGTAAAACGTGTTCATATTTGTATTAAAAATAAGAGATAATTAATAACGAAATAAAACAATAAGACATACAAATTAATTTATGTACATATCAGTTTGTAAAATGTGGGTCGGTGTGTATGCTTCTAAATACATTCAGATTGGAATTATTATCAAATAAATACTGAAGATTGACAAATGTGCTCTCAATGGAACCAGAATGATTGTCAGGGGGTCATAGGACAATAACTTTATATATAATAGAGAACAGTCCATTCCAATAAGAAACAATTATCTGTAATGAAAACCTAGTAGGGAATGACGAATGCATGTTAATCCACCAGTCACTTGCTGTTCCTCCTCCACCCTGCGCCCAGCCTCACTTTCGCTCTTTCTCTCTGCTTGCCGCCTTACAATGGAACAAACTCCCTCTCCGCATCCAACTCTCCCCATCGCTTTCCTCTTTTCGCACTACCCCTCATGTCCTATCTCTTTTATCTTGAATTTTCCCTTCCTCTTCCGTCCACCCCTACCCGGCACCACCTGTCCCCCCTAACCCTTCCCCAGCCACAGCCTCCACCTCGCTCCCTCCACCCTGGTCACTACCCCATTCCCACTCCTTTTGACATTTTGTACCGTAGTCGGTAAGCATTGTCGAGCGCCTTGGTGTACGGCACTTTATAAATCCTAAATAGAATATCATATAATCATGAAAGTGCAATGCTAAAGGACACAAAAGCTCTTGTGCAATCTGAAAGTTGGTTAACCTCATGTATTTTCACAACACTTATTTGCATTCTAGCAGAGTCTAAGGATGATGGTTGACAAATCAATTGTATTATTCCATATATTCCCACCAGTCTGTCCAAATTCAGAAAAACCACATTCATCCATAGGTGGTCATTTTCATAGCAGTAGACGCTAGAGAGACACATACAAAAGTTACAAATTTATGCATATAGAGTTATACGTTTGCAGTTTAGTTAGTGACTGATTGATGTATATTTTGATGATGATGTACAGCAAATTTTATGCTTATAACCAGGACATTTCACAAACCAACATTTTTTTAATTATAGCACCCAATAAATCACAGTCTGCTAGTTGATAAGCAGAGTTTTAATAGTACACATGGAGGTTGGTGAGCCAGCGGCTTCAGGAGCGGCCGGAGGAGTATCTGAATCCCCATCACCACCGAACTGAGTCATTCTCCCCTGTTGGAGTGTGACCTTAAAGCTAACAAAAAGCCAGGCTATGCCCCACTATTTGTGTCTAAGTAGCTACGTTGACACTACACTGCTTGGATGTGCAGTGTAGTCCACCTCTCTGGCCTCTTTTTTGTACTGTGAAGAAAAGGCATTGCCTGTAAACGTCACCTATTATATACCTTTTCTTTTTTAAGGCCACACATGGCTATTGACGAATGCATTGCATTTTTTTTTGCCGTTATTTGTGCTCATGCACCACTGCCAATGCAGCAACAGCAGCGGCATCACCAAATCATTTGTTGGATTTGAAATGGGTGCATGCACTCACGTCCTGGTTGCTCATGTCCCAGTAGGGCCTCTCTCCGTATGACATCACCTCCCACATGACAATGCCGTAGCTCCACACATCACTGGCCGTCGTGAACTTGCGATATTGAATCGCTTCCGGTGCCGTCCACCGGATCGGGATCTTCCCGCCCTGCGTGCAGCAACGAAGACGCACGAATCCGTCACTCTGCCAACAACATTTTGTACAGAAGTTGTTGCAAGCATTTCCGAGGAGACAGGGAGGTTGCATGACAAAACAATTATGCATGTGCCACTGAATTTCTAAACGGTTCTGCGCACACAACCCAATTCGTGGGCTCTATGATAACATACCATAGTGCATTCGGTTTTCACGCCATTCTTATAGCACAAGTCTATCATCACGAAGGCTCAAGGCCACCATCACGAAGGTGCCGTGGTAGTTTCCCAACAGCGGGTGAAGTTAGCCGTCCCGCAATCCCGACTGAGCGATTTGCCGACTGACGATCTCGCGGGATCTTTAACGTCCGCTGTGAAGCAGACGACGCATGTTTTTGCGGTTTGCTAGACCCTCGGTGATAGGCAGGGGCAGCCTGTCGGATTCGAACCGCGGGCAAACGCACCGCCGCTGGGCCGCGTCACCAATTTGGTGGAAGCAAATACTTTTGCCCGCCAATTTTCAGCACAGTGAATGGCCAAGTCAGCGGACAACGGTGAAAGTTGGCTCGCTGTTATGTGAAACATCGCAAAAAATTGGTGAAAACTACCCTCTTTTTTGAGCCTTCGTGAAAGTTTTTTCAACGTAAATTATTGTATAACACGTACGCTATAAAATAACAGAACCATATAAACAATGGAAGCTCGTTAACTTTGAAATATGTATCATTATAATTTATATGTGCACTCAATTCACCGAACAATAAAAATGTTAATCTGAATTTTACGTCTTAGCACCTCAGGCACTAATAATTCTCACGCAGTTATAGCAAGGCATCACACAGGCTCGTCACATATGTAAAATAATGCAGAAAAACCCCGTACAGGTCAAAACGATGTTTTTTACAACGTTGATATGTTAACATTAATAACATAACGTACCTCTCCTAAATAAAGAGTACTTTTTTTAGAAGGGTCATGCATTGGAATATTTTGCTCATTCCCTTCAATATTATTTGGAATGTGGAACCAACGCAAGCGCACCTGGCAAGCCATGATGGTGGTTACCGATCCAAAGCACGAACTGGGCTTAACTCTGCTCAGTTTCAGAGATCCCGTGAGTCGTAGCATTACGTGACATTGCACGATGACACGTTAATAGGGGGTGGTCTTAATTAAAAATACATTCACTATTGACAGTCTGAACACTTTTACAAATATCCTCAAACTCAACGATTTTGACCGGACCATTTCACAAACAGGGCGAGTCAATCCTGAGAGTAAACGGAGCTTATGATGGCTCGTGATTAATAACGATACGTGCCAGCGCGTTTCATTTATTGAGATGGATAAATGCACATGATAAAAACTGAGTGAAGCTAAGTGCATCTCACTTAAGCAAGTTTTATGTCACACATTTGGAGTGTATTTATTTATTTATTCCCCCGCCCCCATCCCACATTAATTTTGAGCGTGAAGTGATGTGCCTTTTCTGCGTGCCAGTTGATGTGTTCATTGCATGCTCGAACATACGTCGCGGACCTCCAATACTTTGTTTAAAAAAATTAGCAAGATTGACCGTGTTATGTTACGTTAATGTAATGCTGACCCATACAATGCCAAGGCAGCAGAAGTAACAGCTGGATGCAGCCTTCGAGGCTACTGTGCAAGTGGGATAACACATCACAGTAGTCTGTATATCGGCTATGTTGATTGTGTTTAAAAATGTAGCCTTCAATTTACTTGGTTTTATTGTTGTTTAGCATTTGAAATCGAATGGCCATTGGTTTTGTAAAAAAAAAAAAAATGTTTTATCAATCGTGTAACTTATTTACATTTAAAGCTGTAATTTGTTTTTTACCCAAGTCTCCAATGAAATAATAGGGACTATGGTGTGACAAAGGGCTCTTACCTGATTTTTTTCAAATGTTTCAGTATGTATAGCGGCCATATGATGTTTTATGGAAATATAAGCCTATAGATTACCTAATATGCCAATAGGTTGGTATTTGTTAAAAGCAAACAGTTACATGTTAATGACCACATTGAGTATATATTTTCCGCCTGCACTACTATATACCTGCCTGTACTACCACACACACACATACACACTATATCGCACAATGAAAATAGATGCGTGTGATAGACCAACGAGGCTTGCCCTCACCATGGCGCTGGTGTAGGTTGGGTCGGAGGTGTCGTCCTCCAGAAAGCGCGAGAGGCCAAAGTCAGACACCTTGCACACCAGGTTGCTGTTGACAAGGATGTTGCGTGCTGCCAGATCTCGATGCACGTAGCTCATGTCTGCGAGGTACTTCATGCCGGCCGCAATGCCCCGCAACATTCCCACGAGCTGGATCACCGTGAATTGCCCGTCGTTTTGCTGGAGAGACACATTTGCAGCACCATAAGCCACTTTGTGTCGACCGAGCGTGCGCGGTAAAGAAAATGAAATAAACAAACAAACAAATATCTGTGATACGTGCAAATTTACGTATTCTTGATGGTGATTAATAAACGCATACGTGTAGACATTTTGCATTGCGTGAATGTATATAGAGGGGCGGAGGAAAAAAAAAACGTTTACAGTACTTGGAATTTTGATTTAAAGCGATGCCTGCATGCATGAACATGCCTTGCATGTGTTTTTTTAGTACGGTGATACATTTGAATAGAGGGGCCTCTGCACAGCTTCGTCTGAGTGGAGGGCCCCTTCCGCCAGCAGTGGCGTGAGCAGGCAACTGCAGGGTTGCATCTTCGCCCCTTTTTTCTTACACGTTTAAGTTCGTGCACTTATGTAACAACAGTGTACGACGTAAACAACAGCACATTGCAGCCGTCTTGCCAATGCACTGTTAGATGAGGGCCTCCCCATGCCGCGTGTGTAATGGACAGGTTACAAGTGTACAGTTTAGAGTTATTGAAACTCATTGCTGCAAGTTATGATTGTCATATGTTAACACCGATTAGCACGGTTGGCTAGGTACGGTGCGAAAGAAGTTCGACGTACATACATATAAATACTTGTTATTATATTTGTGCGAAGTAAAAAAACGTTGCTTTTCATTATTTTGTCAGATTAAATTAGACCTGGTTGCACAGTGTATTTGTAGCGAGGGAGGTGTTAATTGATAATATGCTTTAGAAAATCCGAAGTAACATTTCAGAATAATCAGCTTGGGTTGGAACCTAGGACATGGTGAATAATAATAATACTTGAACAGATGAGATGAACACACTATTGTTTCTGTAAAAAAAAAATACTCACGTAGGCATCCGGCCATTCATAAAGGATTTTGTAAAAAAATAAATGTTGGCTACACTGGCATTGGCACAAACTGCAGAAGCAGAGAGATGTGCAAGTCAACAGACACACTGTGAACACTGAGCAACTGGTCGAGTGGATTGATAATGAAGAGGGCCAGGGCCTAACAAAGAATGACATATTGTGAGAATAACAACCTGAAAACATTAGCGTGCATTGGCCAAAGTACTGCATAACAATATCACTAAATGGCTACTCTGTGATTGTTTATTCTAGAGAAGTTAAATTGCATACAATAAGGGATGGGTTCCGTACATTTATATTTGATAACCAACCAGCGCTCGTTGGGAAATCCATTCCCCAAATTCGCTTAGCCTCTGATTGTGAACTCAAGCTCCATGATGCATCAACCCTTTCCCCACTCACATGTTGTTGGTACGTCTTTGTATCTGAGCCTGTGCATCTGTGCTTGGAGAGCAGTAGTGTAGCGGTTAGCGTCCTGCGCTAGGAATCCAGTAAACTCGAGTTCGATTCCTGCTCACGGCCAACACCAGTGATGATTATTTGAACGGGTCCCACCTCCTCCCCTCTCCCCGCTAGGTTGACTCAGCCTTAAATGAGTACCTAGTACGGTGTGTAAAAACATCAGCACTAGGGAGACAAAGGCGGCCAGGCGTGGTGCTGGCCATGGTGGCCTTCTGCTGCTCGCTAACAGCACTTGCCCCGAAAGTTTGTTTAGGCCATACAGGGGATCTTCGTATTTGGCGTGCATGTCGTAAGTGCCAGCACCCAAAGCTCTTTCTGCAGCACGTACCGTGGGCCTGACGGGAATTGCTAATGTTGACAATTAACAAGTGACCAGCGAACGGCAAAATGTACGGAGAAAATCTGCTGACGTTCGAATCTTCATCAGGGCTAATGTCAGTGTTGTTATATCTGAACCAGTTTCGGGCTGTCTTAGGTTTAATCAGCCTCAAATGAGTACCTGGTACAATGTGCAAATGTCAGCATATGGGAAGAAAAGGAGGGTGAGCATGGTGCTGGCAATGGTGCCTCATCGTGCAGACTTCTGGCCTTTATGATTGCACGAGTTCCAACAATCTATGAAGGCTGCAAGTGGTATCTTTGTCTCGTTATGTGCAGTGAGCTCTCAGACCGAGAATGACTGCATTCCTACTGCTGACATTTGGTCTCTGAACATGCAGCCATTTAGTGTCTGGGTCAATTTCCGTGAAGAAATGTTTACGGGCAGATACTGATCAACGTCATCTCGAAAAGCCCCGTTTCACTAAATGTCGCCTTGTGCACTCCTGCACAGCTGCCACACGTGTCTACTATGTGCTGATGTTCCTCGATGTGTCACTCAGGCACCTCGTAAGCCAGCAGGCCACCAGGGAATTCCTGGGACTCAAAATCCTATTTTCATAGTCAGGGTGGGATGCTGGAATGTAGCTTATCAGAGAAACATCTACACGTCCACAGATTTATTTTATTGTCAAAACTCAATCAATCAATCAATCACTTGACTTTTAGTTTACAACAGGTGAGATGTGGGTGGGGGATTTTGAATTTGAGGCAAATACGATGAGAAAAGGGGAATCGCCGCATTGGAAATGAGAATCTTCTGGATAAGCGTAGGGCCCCAAATAGCTCACGGCAAGGGGACCCAGATTCACAAAATGACCATCATATGTTTATGAAAAAACCCCATCATAATTCTAATATCACCACTAATAATAATAACTATACTCATAATTAGTGATGTTTACATGCCACACCAGGTACTCAATTGAGGCTAAGTCGACCTAGGGGATGCCCAGGCCCGGTTCATATAATCTTCGCTGGTGTTAACCGTGAGCGAGAATCGAACCGGGGGCCGCCGGGTCCGTAGGGCGTGGCACGCGCTGACCGCTGCAAATCTACCGCTGCACTGCCGGTGACAGGCAGGCGCTCACTCACCCGCAGGAAGGAGTCAAGGGATCCGTTCTCCATGAACTCGGTGATGATCATGACGGGGCGGCTCTTGGTGACCACGCCCTCCAGGTGGATCACGTTGGGGTGGTCGAACTGGCCCATGATGCTCGCCTCGCTCAGAAAGTCGCGCCTCTGCCTCTCCGTGTAGCCGGCCTTGAGCGTCTTGATGGCGACTGCCATCTCGCGCTTGCCCGGAAGCTTCAGACGCCCGCTGCACACCTCCCCGAACTCGCCTGTGTGAGAGAGCAGCGGTTTTGGTTCAACCAACAGCTTCCCCCAACCCAGCTCCCCCCCACCCACTGCCAACACCACCCACCCCTGCTTGTCACCCACACGAATGTCGAGGTCACCGGTTCAATACAATCTCCCGGCACTGTCGTTAAACAAAAGCTGCAAGATTCTTAAATCCTCGCGGGCCTCGGCCTGCCCGGCAGCGCACCGCAGCCAGTCAATCGGCAGGTCGGGTGTGACGTGGCAGAGCGTGGATACTCCCACTCCTTCCAAAGATATCTGGCCAGAGTGGAAGAGGAGGCCAAATAGCCTCGAGAAGGCACTCTCTGAAGCTGAGTTTAGTGGAGGCCCTGCCGCCAGCAGTGGCGAGAGCAATTGCAGGGCTGCTCCTTTATCTTGATGGTGGTGACAAGGGCTTAGCGCTGGCACGTTCGCCACCGGTTGCAACAGGTTTACAGTTTACATCCAGCGGCCACCCTGGTTATTACTGTGGGTGTAGTTGACCGTAACAATATTACACACCGTCTGCTTCACAGAGGCAGTTGAACATACCACGAGGTCACACGGTTGGCTGTGTACGATGCGAAAGAAGTTCAACATACATACATACGCAAGAGTGGGATATTGTGTGCTGGTGTCAGGGTCCAAATTTGTCGAATTCCAATATTCACCACAAAGTACTAAAGTTGAATTAGTCATAGCTTGTATCGCCCCCTGCTGGCAGATTAGTGCCGCATGTCAATCTTGCAAATGGTGCTATCCTGGGCCCTTGAAGCTTCACCTCGTGAAACAAGATAAACGAGACACTGGAAACCTTTTACTATTGCAGTAACTTAGCACTAAGGTGTGCTGCCGCCGGGATCTTCTGACCAGTAACTTTTTGAATTGCTTAACAGATCAGATACATTCTTAGAAGTTTGAGGGGGATAAAAATCCTTGCTCTCACATCCAACAAAACGTACATGAGGAGTATCATCCATTATTAATTTTTAATGGGTTAAAGAAGAATTCTGCATTGGACGAATTATTGCCAGACATGTGTGTAATACGCTAATTGCAAATTCAAGTGTGCAGTGCAATGCATTGAGACCATTAGCACGTGCACTTAAGTATGCAATTGTCCACAGTGTCTATTTATAACTTAGCACTACAATGTGCTGCCCTCAGGATCTACTCGACAGCAGAGCGAATACAATAGTACGCTCTCTGTCTGTGTATCTCCCTGCGTCTTCTTTGAGCGTCAGCAAGGTACCCTAAACAATCAAACCGCCGCAAGGCAACCATTAGGACACGGATTACGACGTGATTATGCCCCTACGCCTGACCTTCTCGCACCAATTCTTACATTCCTGGCTCGACCCCCCCCCCCCCCCCCCAAGGGTTAAAGGTACCAACTACATAGGAGATGGGAACGTGATGTGATGCTTTCTCTAGGCAGCACCCAGCGGCACTGCCATCTCATATTCAATCACAGCCGTGCTCCCCGTGCCTCTCCTAGATAAACTGGCGAGTTGGCATGTTCTGTTCAATCACGTTGTACGGCCGCGTGCCAGTCCAAGATTGGCTGGCATAATGGCATGTTCTATTCAATCACGAGGCAACGCCGTGTGCTTGTCGGAGATAAGTTGGCGCTGTGATGTGTTCCATTTAATAGCAGGGGTGTGCCATACTGCCATCCAAAAGAAAGTTGGTGTGCTGGCATGTTCTATTGAGCCACAGTAACGGTCTGTGCGTCTGTCTCATGTAAGCTGGCATAACGGAATGCTCTATTCAATCATAGGCACGAGCCGCACATCCATCTAATAAGTGTTGGCACAACAGGTCGTTCTATTCAATTATGTGGATGTGCTCCTTGCGGGTCCAAGATAAGTTGGTGTATTGGCATGTTGTAGTCAATCACGGGGGTGGTGGCGCATGCCTGACCAAGATAAGTTGGCACATTGGCCGCGTGTGTTCAATCATGGGAATGTCTTGCATGGCATGACTAAAAAAAAGGTTGTCATAATGTGAATGGTATAGTCAGTCAAAGAGGGCTTTTATTATTACCAGCCTTGAAACTGTGATGGAATCCCAATGGGCTGGTTGATGAACACACATTTGCTGCAGTCTCATCAGTCAATGACTTTTCCAGCCAATGGATAAGCAAGACAGTGGCCATGGCAAACTAACGTAACACGATAGCAAACTGGTGGCACCTGTGGTGGCAATGTGTGGTTATGGACAGGTGAATGTACGTGTAAAAGAGGCTACCCGTTTGCCAAAGAGTTTCGGAATGAAACGTGTCAGATGTACGTCAAAGAAGCAGTTAAGGAATGAATAAAAAAGGGGCATGAGCAGGCGTCACTGATGCTGTTGCTAAAGCGAAATAAGTGAGGTGGGAATAGGCATCACGTGTCATGAGAACAACTAAAAAATATATAGATTTAAAAAATTTTTTTACCAGGTAATGCCCACTGAGCTATGTAGCTCTTTTTCAAAAGCGACCTGGCCATCGCAAATGATAGCTCAACGAAAGTGGCTTATCGTCACGTGCATATTTGAAAACTGACGAGAGATGAAAGGTAATTAAACGCGGAGGGGAGATTGTGGAAAGAGACAACGAGATGGATTTTATAGAATTTGGAGACCGGACAGCAGAAACCAAGGCAAGAGAGACATTGAACACCAATTGGGAAGACGTATGCACATTAGCGGGAGAGTGCAGGTTGACAACAATAACATTTATACGAGTTGCAGTATAAAGCAAGAGTTGTGTGGGCAGTGGCATTCCTTGGTAGAAGTCTGAAGTGTGCACCATATGGGGTGGCACATTGGCAGCACATAGAGAGGAGCATCAAACAGCCAGAGCAATTTCGTATTGGTGATTCACTGTTTAAATTCATCGCTCCACAATTTGCACCCAACCGAGGCATTATTTTGTGTTGTTTTTTTTCAATAGGATTTGGGGTTTCCTTGGGTAAGATGGGAATGACAATTAGTTGAACTTTACTTTTTGCAAGAAAAATCCCTGCCGTTTTCGCATGGCGGGTTTAAGCAACGGGCTAGCGAGAGGTTGTGTAATATTACGAGCCCCTCATCACCTTTGTGATGAAATAAAACCTCGTGAAGAGCACAACACAGTGCTTGTACGTTATCCGGACATAATGACGCTATTCTGTCAGAATGGTGAAGTGCTCGTGTCCTTACTACACCACCACCAACAACAAAAAAGCACCCCCCCCCAAAAAAAAAAAATAATTTTTAGGACTGCTTTGGGCAGAGCACAATCCCAAAACAGATTTACGAATGGCACGCTTGGGAATGCTGTCAATTTAAGTGATGCAGACGTGAACGAAAATGTTCATTACGTCACTAATGCGTGCCCATTTAACATAATAACTCAAATGAGTGACAAACAGCTGTTTTCGTCTCATGTGCCACGGATTCTGTGGCTTTTAGGGGGCAGACGCAAACCCCCTTTGGCTCGAGAGCTTTGGCACTAACAGTACACGCACATTACTTTTGGGTCAAGGACTAGGCAGCTTTTGAACACTTAATCGCATAAATTCCCTCAAAAGCACTTTAAGGCCAGACTTCAAACAATTACTGCTTTGCTCATAACCTCCGAGTGAAGATTTTCCACCAAGATAACTGCTTGTCATTAGCAGGGGAAAAAAACTTTTCTGCGGTAAACATCTTCCCTTTCATCTCAAAATGATGGCCCCTTAAGTGTTTAACCAAATTGCTTCAGACATCGCAGCATCATTATGCAACGTGGCTGCGAGATTAATTTGTTTATTTCATGGATTTTCACACCAACAAAAATCTCACTTTGTTAATACTCACTGTCACATCTGCAGTTTAGGCGAGATAATCACTCTGTGCATCCCTCTTTTAATGAAAGGATCATGCCGATTTCGCATTGCATAAATCAATACTTGATCAAATACCGATAACATGTGATACATATGTAGTAAAATTTCCCTCACTTACTGTGTGCACAATTACTTTCTCAGTGTGGTCAATATGACCTTTTAATAATACATTCGCATATGAAATTTGAACACTTCTTGGTCTTAAATGCCACCGATACTTACAAAATTACGTTTTTAATGCATTTTCTTTGTAAGCAGAGATGCTCCAAATTGTCCTTCTTGCAGACAATTTCCAATTATTTTGCTTCTCATAATAAAACATGAAAATGTTAACTGTAGCATTTACCTCTCGACAACTTCCACCTCTGATATTTGTAAAAAAAAACTAAATCAGCTTATTGCTCTTCAAAGTTTAAATTTTTTCCACAAAAGAACTGGCATTTCATAGCTGCGGTTTAAATTGCCGAGCACCACAGGTTCAACATGCCCTGCGGGGCAGCCACATCTCACGTGTTAGTTTATGCGGTGCGCTGTCTTTTCCGGGGGGCCAGTGGCAATGGCTTTGCTTTCATTCATTTACTCCATAAGTTAATTTCCCTCCCATCGCTGCGAGAAGCTTTCATGTGGCATTCATGGGCAGACGTTTTAACTTAACAGGACCCTCCTTTGACGCCACAGATTGCTTGAAAGAGTGGGCAGTAATCATACCCTGGACAGCAGGATAAGAGAGAGAGAGTCCCCTTGGGGGGATGTTATCCCCGCTTTCCTATCTGTGGTCCAGCGCTCCAGCAAGGGGATTAGGAGGCTCGGGGCCAGTGGCTATAAACACACACACCTATGGCAGCCAATTTAGATATTCCAATAGCAGAATGGCTGTAGAAGGTGTGATGGGAGGACTTGTACTGGTGTTCAAGTGCGTCTGTGTATCCAGAGATTCATCTGTTCATCTCGAATGCCAGAGACATCCATCTGTTGCACCATTATAAATTTATATTTTGCTCACCGCATTTTTCCCCACCAGATGGTATGTCCAAACAGTGGCAGATTCCATCTAACAATTGAACAATGTCTCTGCATCCGTGTATTATTGCAAACTTCCGGGTGCGAGGTCTTGCAGTCCGGGAGAAGTTCCATTTTAAAGAACACGTCCCCCGTTGCCTTAAGAACCGTGGCCAATTTTTGCTTCTGTGAATGTATTCACTTAAAACTAAAACTATTACTACTTTTTTATTTTAAAAGATAAGAAGGCCCAGTGAGCTATGCAGCTTTTTTTCAGAAGCGACCTGGCCACAAATGATAGCTCAACGAAGTGGCTTATCATGTGAAAATTATCTGCAGCCACATACTCTAAACGCACGTTTTTTAAACGTATTACTGTGGGAACTAAATTCCCTCTTTTCATTAAAACTACCATTTGAAGGATCTTATAGACATTTTCTCTAATTTAATGTAATGCATTACATTTATGGGAATGCTTGTTTCTAAATTGGCGCTTAATCAAATAATTTATTTTATCTTGAGTGCTTCTTAGAGCCGCTTATGAAAAAATATTGTAAACTTAAATTTCACACTTTGAAACTTAGACGAACAAAAAAATACTGCCTTTATTTTTTTTAAAGGAACATTATAGTTCTACTGCCAAAGAACAAAGTGAACGCTCCCAAAAAACGTAACGAACGTAAACAAAAACGAAAGAAATTCGCCATTGACCCTTCAGAGTTATTTAATTACAAGACCGTTTAGGTCAGCATCCTTAGGCATACGATCACAAAAGTCGGAGAAATCGAACAACACTCACAATTGCAACACAACATTTTGGACAGAATCCCAAAGTTAATCAAAGTCATCTCCTCCACCCTACCTGCTCCAATGACCTGTTCGATCTTCACACAGGAGACATCAATCTCCTTCGCAAACTCTCGCACCGCCTCATTCGGGTCTTCGTACGTGAACGGGTCAATGTATATCTTGTGGCCTGTGTGCAAACACAACCAGCGCAAGCGATTATGCATCAACACAACACAACAAGTGGGCAGGCACGATCTTATCGAGTCGCAAAAGCCTCCGCGGTGGGGTTGTTCTGCAGATATGTTTTAGGGCTTGTACTGAGTGTCGTTCGTTTGGCATGACGATGCCCGACGTTTCGCCTCACACTCTGGCAACATCTTTGGGGAAAAGACATCGTGCCAAACAGCGCATGGGCACCCTCCCGAAAACACATCGTAGAGGCCATCTTGCTTCAGGATTTCCCGCTGGAACGATGGTGGAGTGGTGTTCACCACCTCTTTAAAGCCCGCAGTCATGAGCGGAAATTCCACATTGCTATGGTCAGAGGTATGTTTATCCATCGGATGACTACTGTCGATATCTCCACACAGTGGTATGGTTGGTATGGACCCTCCAGGGCTTGAAGGGGCTGAGTTCACACGCCAGCTGTGCACCCGAACCATCGCAACACGCAGGTCTTTGTTAAATTTTAATTGCTTAAACTAATGACTATGATAGCTGCATGCATTAGTAAACTTAAAAAAAAACTATGGGAAATGTGGATGACAGGGCCTTAAGTATTAATAGTGGTCTAATGAGCTTTCATTAATGGTGATTTTAATGATGAGAAAACTTTAACGGTTGATGTTAAAAAGAAGTGTAGACAATTTTGTCAGACTATAAAAATTAAGACGTATAACAGTTTAATAAGGTGATTTTTTTAAAGTTACATTCCACTGTTGGATGAAAAGTTCCATGTGCCGTTTTGGTTTAAGGGGTTGTTTGACCATAGTTCATCATCCTTGTCAATTTTGGATGGTAAAGGCATGCCCAAGACCTGTTCACATATCACTCACCGCTGAATTTAGCCATGGCCGGGAATCAAACTAAGCTATCAAGGTTCATAGCACATTGTGTGAGCCATCGTGCCACTGCTACACCATTTAAATGATAACCATTAAAATTTGACTTGTAAAACTATAACTTACCAGCAGGTTAACAATAAATATATTTCACAGATTGCAATTGTCCGCTTTGTAACTTACGTGACAGACATCACTTTCCACGGGTGTTAGCCATGACTCGGAATTGAACTCAGGTCACTGGGTTCAGATGTCAATGTGCTAACCACTGTATCAACATTCCCCCTGGAATAAGGTGTGGGATTTGGCATACATAGACACAAATGTGTAGGCTTGTGTTTCAATATACCTGAAAAATGTATAAATTAAATAAAACTCCACCACCTTCTCCTTTACACTGACTTATAACAAGAGATATATATAGTGGGTTATTATTTTTGATTTATGTTTTTACACCACTGCCAACACAGTTCCCTTATTTGATTTTTTAATAGCTTTCAATTAGGTTTGTAAATGCTCCCACGTTTGCGTGAGGTGAAAAATAATGTAGACCTTAATCTGTTTTACTTTCATCAGGTAATCCTAACATTATTAAATTGTGCATGCACCATGAGGAAGGATTTGAGGCATTGTATGTAATTATTTTTCACGATGCTAAATAATTATTTCTTGGCTCGATATGGAATTAATTATTAACGTGCAATTTCCCATGATATTGTTTTACGGATTTCAAGAAATATTGAGAAAAACGCATTATGCATTGCCATCCAAAAGATATTCTCAAGTACTTTGTCTGAATCAAGTGCCCACTGTGAACTCTTACAAAAAAATTGTAGACACAGGAGAATGATAAAGTGAACGATGTTACTGGCCTCCCCTACCCATAACACCCACGGCAATTTTCTCTCTGATAAACTACACCTGACAGTTGGCCAATGGGACCCATCATAACATGAGTTCAAGAGAACCAATCAAACAAGTCTGGTGAACCTTACCACCACAAAATATACGAGGCCCACTTTTTTAATATACATAAATATGGAGTTTGGGGCCATTTGTTTAACATCCCTAGCCTACAAAGAAAGTGACAGAGGCAATAATAGTAGATCAACATATATGCACGACTATAAAAGTGGCTATTTCTGTGCTCTGTGCTAGTGATCGGACGCGAAATGTTAGTTTAGTTTACAGAATGTTACCTTTCATAATGGATCACATTAGCGGATTACATGCTGAAATAAAATGTGTGTTAATGAATGCTTGATACTGTAGAAAGATGAATGGAATAGATTCCATATCCATGATGATAGACGCATTGTTGATATTTACCTCTGTGTAAAATCTCTTAGCATACGTGATGACACAAAGGTATGGCGATACCGCTGCTGGGGAAAAGCCTCCCCACGCACGTCAGTCAAGGGAGGCTTGAGATTGCTATTCTAACTGTGTTATCCGCGTCACGTCACGAGATTAAGATACATCCAATAGCGACTCTCAGAGAGCAGTCCATGACCCTATGTTAAGAGAATGGTCTGCAGAAGGTGATATCACAAAACTAATTTTGAGATCACTTATGGGTTTTGTAAATTCCCATGTGCCCTGCTGTAGAGGCTCATCACGTGGCAGTGAAAGCCACATTTACATTACTTAATTCTGAGAGCTGGAATTTTACCAAATTAAGTTAAAAAAACAAATTTAATACGATCAAATTTTGCACGTGCAATTGCTGGTAAATTGGCTGAGACTATCAATATGCTACATTTGAGAACCCGGTTTTATCACAGACAGCTACCCAGAGTGAATCGCGAAATCTCAGCGGCGCTGGCTCAGTGCTCTGACCCCTGAAACACCCCGGGGAAACCTCACCCCTGAAGTTTCTGAACCTCTTGCTTTGTTTGCAGGGTAACCGAGACGGGGCGGAACTCACCAGCCAGGGGCTCCACCCAACTCTGCTCTCATCATGGTCAGCGAAAGGTGAAGTCTGAAAGCTGCATCGATGCAGGTGCCAGGACCCTGTGGCGTGAAGCACTTGAGTTCGAACCCGAACAACACTGGGTCCACTGCTGTCTATCCTGCCCAACTCTCGTGGATGAAGACGGCGATTGAACAGATAACTTGTTTGACTTCAACGGGGATTGTGAGTTTGCAAGGCAGCTTTGACCTCGTGATAACAATGCCTCCATAGCGTCCAAAGCCCCCTAATTGAATGGCCACAAATGGCAGCAGTAACAACAACAAAACTTCGCATGGTTTGGAAAGACACCTTTCTTTTAATCTTGTTTTTAAAAGGTTGTAGGTAACAGCTGTATGGAATTTGCCAATATGTTCAGTTTAACACGTAGGCTTTCGCGACCGATATCATAAACGTTGTGGGTTTACTCTCAAACACACTGGTGTGCTGAACTAGTAACTAATCAAAATGTTTTGATTACGTGACAAACCTTACTAATTGGCTGTGTCGGGTGGTGGTAGGTTGCACGACACAATTATGTTCACACGATCTAACCCAAAAAACCTCTATTATAAATAATACTATGTTCATCGTTAGTATGTTACTATTAGTCAAGACTGTTGGAAATTAGATAGTATCATCATCACCGTCATTATACCAACCACCATTACTTCGGCAAAAAAAAAAACATCTCTTTACCTAACAAGCGCCAAATAATTGTCGATATTGTAGGGGAGACTTACATTATATTTTCCAAGTTTGTACGAAAGGATGCTCTCAAAGATATATATAGTGATGGGGTTATTTTATTTATTTATTTGGATATGTAAAATATATCTATACATAACAACACGCGTTCAAGCATGATCCAGTTTAAACAGAACGGTATCAATCCCTGACCAATCGGCAGCAGGAGGCAGAATCTATTGAAATGCCGGATCCCATGCGTGGCTCGGCGCAGTGCGGGAGTTTAAAACCCACGACTTTGCAACTAATCAGGGTGACATTTCAATTTTTGTGTGCGCAAACAAAACTCCGCTCACTCTCCCCTTCGCCTTTGCACGGCACGCCACGCTGTGTTTGTTGCGGGCCAACATACAGCAGAAGCTCTATGGGTTACTGATTTTTTTTTGGGATGCCCAGTAAAAAAAAAACTTTACAATGTTTTAAAGCGTCAAAACACATTTTTTTCTTTTTTGGGGGGGGGGGGGAGTGGGGGTTGTGTCGAGTCAGCAATGCGGCACGCACCTATGGTGAAGCATTTCAGTGCAAGATGGGCGCACGCAGGCAGCGGTACTTAAAGGCAGCGGCACGGAAGGAGGATTGTATTTCACAAAGGGGCCGCGCGAGTGAAACCACAAAGGGATTTTTACTCACATTTTCGGAAAGGTGGAAGCGAAAAGGGGTATGAAAAAAAAGGCGACCCATTTCTGCGTGCGTTGATGCAGCCTTCCTGGTGTTCTGATTTAAAAATGAAAAACATCTGTGTCCCCTTGTCAGTAGCTGACCATATTAATTCCGCTTGACTTTAAACATTTTTGCACTGACTGCTGCAAACTCCGTTGCGTTTTAACTCAAAACCCCAAATGGGATTGCATTGGTTCCTTCGGCTCTGGGTGAAAATCCACGGTGGCGGTCCCTGCATTAAACCAGATAGCATTTCCATTGCTGTTCTTTCTGAAGAAACGCTTGCCAAAAGAGAAAGTTTGGGATGGTCAGATAGCAGAGGAATGGACAGCGCACACGTGGGTACGCGCCGCTGGTTTTGACGGGAAGCAAATTGGGACAGTGGGAGTTTGTAGTGAAAGTGCAGAATGCACTCGGCTTTTGCCAACTAAAACACAACCCCCTGTCACCTGCGAATAAATATTCAACTCCGCACATGCGCTGCAAAGTGTTTAAATACAGATTGCATATGGGGGGAAGGAAAAAATATATATAATAACCATTAAACTGATAAAATCATTACAGAAAGTCTAATCGGCATACAAGCTGTTGCCGTTTTATTTGAAAGGTCTGATGCAAGCAGACGAGTATATTTTTTTCTTCTTCAATTATTAAAGTTGGTAAATCAAGTGTGCGGCCGATGAAGCGCAGGGAGGTCACGTGTATTGATTGCTCATTTACCCAAGAAGGAAGGTTTTTGCCTAAAGTCGCCCAGAAATTATACCATCATGCAAGAGACCAGCAACAGAGTGGCATTAGTGGAAAATCCATACTGTAAGGATGGAAAAAAAACGGAAGGCTAGACTTGCGTCCCTCTTGAGAATCCAACAATTAGATTGCGCAGGTTTTCCAAACGAAAGGGATTTGTGTAATAAGTGCTGTTTAATTACATTGATCGTGTTTAGGCTTGCTTGTTGCTATGCTGTTTAAGTGCAAAATGCGCACAGTGCCACAACAGATGCATTGGAGGCCGGGATTGTGGGTGGGTGTGTGGCGTTTTTGGGTAAAAGGGAAAAAAAAATAATTGCTGCTCAACACGAGGCTGTTATCCCGTTTGTTGAACGCGTCTAAACATAAATCAGGCAGCAGATGCTGGCTCACAGCGCCCAGCAATTATGGCCACGCGTGTACTTATTCATCACAATCACAACGCGAGTGTTGGACAACGTGGACGAGGATATTCTAAAACAATTATGCGTGCATTTAAATCATGGCGTTATTAGATTTTTGGGAAATAATTCCAGTAATTATGTGAGCATCATCCTGGCGAACAGAGTACCATAATATATGACCTGTCAGTAATGTGTGCTAGGATTTAACAAATTCACAAGAGCTTGTATTATTCACGTACAATATTTGTTATATATATACACGTGTATACAAAGGGAATGTATGTTTTTGAGATAGTTATTGGATCATTTCATGTTACTGATTTTTATTTGTTTATTTATCTAGAACCGATATGCATTCAAAATATGTTTACATTTATAATTTTCGGCATGGGTTTCATCATTCACTCATTCACAGCTGTTTTATGCAAGCTTTATTGAATATATGAACTGGGTAGTTTGCCATATATATGTATATGCTAAAGGGAATATATATGATCGTTAGAGATGCATAACTATGCATGGATATGATGTCATAGCCAAAAGCTAAGCAGATGAATTTCATATGGTAGAACCAGCTGGATGAAAAACTAAACATGGTATGCTTTCCAGAGACAAATTATTCTATGATGAGTTTCTACACGTGTTCTCTTGGATAAAAATAAAGTTTGTTTTTATTTTTTTTGCAACAAATGTAATAAAATGATACTAAATAATGTACAGGCCTTTGTCAATACATTTCTAGATGAAGGCCTCCCCCCATTCCATGTCAGGTACCAGGGTTGTTTAGCCATACTTAACCACACTCATCAATGCAGGTTGGGTGAAGGGAGATTCCCAGAATAAGTTCAGATACAGCTCATCACTTTAGTCAGCCATAGCCCAGACTCAATCTCGGGTTTCAGGGTTCATAGTGAAATAAACTGAACGATGCATAACCACTCCGTCTCTTGCAAGGCATCACGTTCTATAAAATGTTGACGAATCTCCCTTTTTTTAATTGACCCGATTGGAGGTGGCAAACAAGTTTGTGAATTCTTACAATGCAGTGGGATGAATTAAATCCACGGGAGAAAGTTGGAGTTGAAGTGACGTTGCAGGATGTGTTTACTCTTGCTTTGGGATTGCTGAGCATGCGTTCCTTACAGAAAGTTGCCATTCAGGTGGTGATAAAGTTTTAGTTATTTATTTAGTGAAAATGCTTAACCAGGAAAACCGCTGTGACACGCAATATCTCATTTTCACAGGCATCCTGGATCAGAGAAGGCATCGCAATGCACAAAACTCACAACATTCGTCACGGACGCTGCCGTCATAATGGAAGAAAAAATGCGTTGCAGCAACGGGGCGACGAGATCGGTCCGTGCGTAGGCACTCAGTGGATTGTTGCTTCGCGGGACCGTGAGACGTGCAGTGGCGGCGGGCTTGGGAAGGCCCTTCATCCAACAGTTGATCAATCATGGCTGACGACGATGGGGATATCACAGCAAAGTCAGATAAAGAAAAAAAGCTTACAATTTGAGTAATACTATGATATAATAAAAATCGCTGAAAAAATACCGAATCTAAATGATTGAAAATTGTTAATTCGTTAGATTATTTAAATACGAAAAATATTGACATATCACCAGCAGCCGCTTGGTTTAGCTGGACGCTATAATAATTGTGGTGTTTCTGCATTGCAGTTGTCAGCCGGTTCGAGTATTTGGCTACAATACATTTCCACATGATAATAATCCACATCATCAAGCTATCATTTGTGATAACCTGGTCGCTTGTGCAAAAAGAGCTATATAGCTTAGTGGGCCTAATCTGGTAAAAAAAAAAAATAGTTAGTTACGTAAGTCATGCAGCGCTCTATAAAATAAAGTGTGAAGTCCAGCAATCTCTAAAGGATTGGGATTGGCCCTTTCATTACGAATAAGATAATCCAATCAAATCCCACGGCTACAGACAGGATAGTGCAAAATACTCACAAAGTAGTGTGCTAACCCTTATATTTGTGACAGCTACTGTTTTCTACGGACCACTACTACTACTAATAATAATACAAAATAGTTCTTCATTTTCCTTAAGCATACATCTGCCGGTGGTGATGGAGACATCAACCTCCTCTTGAGCTTAAACATTTGAGCTCCAGGCAATGTGGATCAGCAAGCATTGCGTTTGTTCTATAAAAAAAGTGATACATTTTCAAATATGAGGAAAACTTTATTTTTAAAAAGGGAGGTGGTTAATATTGCTATTGGTGGCAGCACTGGGTGTCAATAATGGGTTTAATTCTTGATGTTAGATGCATAACTGATCTTTAAAAATATGTATTTTATTTATGTAATTATTTAGTTTATTTTTATACAGTCTCAGCAATTGCTCACAGCTGGGGTAGACATGCATACTCTGCGTGGCTTTACAAAGCAGGAGGTAGAATCAGAAGATTAGCTACTTCATGTAGTCACTCACTCTCATACAGGAGATACATCGGTGCAAGGTTTTTTGCATTTCATCTCAATGTGTTTCCTCTCAAATTAATTTTACTAAATTAAGTTGTGGATTCCATACTTTTTTTTTACTTGATGTCTCGTCACATAAATATGACTGCATTATCACATTAAATCTGCCCTACTTGCGAGCGCTCCCACTGAGATCTGTTAAGTCGCACTATAATTGAGTATCATGCTGTTCCTCGTCTGAATGAACATTGCAGTTAGCGCAGGCAAGTAACACAACATGATACTTAATACATCAAGTTATGAACAGCGCTTCCATACAATGGACAGTCTCTGCTCTTGCATATTGCATGGTTGCACTGTTTTGTACCAATTATGAACTGTTACCAATCGCCATCTAGGACTTGATGTTCCGCTCATTAAATTTTACAAAAGCAATTAACCGGACTGGTTCACGCACTGCACTATTATGCAGTATCCAGTGACCTGAGTTCCATTCCCAGCCCCGGTTAAAATCAGCGGTGAACTGTTTCTGGTCAACCACCCCCTCCACACAATTCACAAAACCACACTGACAAATGTGGTGATGTATGGTCAAATAACCCCCATGATTGACGTGGCACGGAAAGTCCTCCATCAGTGGATTGACAAAGAGCTATAAGTTATTAACGTGATGCAGAATCTCAAAGGGTCTGATTATGGTGCTACCCACTATGCCGGTATCGGTCCTCTGCAATGAACGTATTCGTACATTTTCACCAAGTAGATAATACCGCCGTTGTTTCTACACGTGTGAACACGTGCGTGTCATATCATTACCATTACGATAAATGTTTATAAAACTCTCAGTAATATTTTGCCACAGTTGAATTTTCACAATATTTTTGGTTGGATTAATGTCATATATAATCCATACATTTACAACAAATGATAGGAATACATTTTCATACATATGCAAGTTTGCGCATCAGTGCCTCTTACCATGGCCACCAGTATAATGCTGAAGTTTGTCTGTGTATTCTGGATCTGCCCTTTCATATCTCCGCCTGCAATTATAAAATAACAATGACATTCATATTATTTATGTATTTATTCACACAAGCGTCGTTGCAGTCTAAATACCACCTTTCAGAAGAGTCCTGCATCGGCCTGTTTGATATATTCCAAGTTTCATCACGATATATTAAATATTTACGATACATTTTTAACTGGGAGAGACTGCAGTTTAAAAAAGAATCTGCTTAAGCAATATCAAACAATTCATCTGCATTAACGATCATGAGACAAGTCGCTGGCCTGTACTCAAAAAACGAGCATTGCAAATTTGGATGTATAAAGTGTCTCAATGTGGCTGCATCTCAAGATAATGGGCATGACAGCCATTCATTGTGCACACACATTTTTCACAGCTCCATAACCAACATTGACATTGCGAGTCTTCATAACATCTATAAACAATAGCTTCGTGATTGCTGCATTGGCAGTGGTGCAAAAACACGAATTAAAAATAAAATAAAATGAACACATCCTTCAATAAAACTGCCATTAAAGGCGAATCATATAAACGTGACTTTCGGGGCAAATGTCCCTTCTTCAGAGCAGAGAGATGGAAGTAAAAGAGGCGTCTGTCTTGCACAAGCATCACCCTGTTGCCTCTGTGCAGAGATCCCTTCCTTATGTCTGCTTCTGCTTGTGGCATCGCAATGGGAAGGTTTTGAGCTGTGTGTCCCACTCATTCACAGATGGAAGCATTTTCACCCCTGACTTTAAAGTAATTCCTTTACTGTTGAGGCCAACATTCTCTGGTGAAACCAAGAGTGTGTTATCCTCGAATCTATCCCCCACGTCTCCTCCATAATCTCCGTTTCTTCCACACGCTCGTTTTTCTTTGTGTGCTTCTTGAGTCATTTCCCCAATTTGTCTCATATTTCGTTTTTCCCTTTCATAGTTTTGGCTTCGTGCACAGTTATTTTTTCCATCACAGAAGTCTTCACCTTATCTTTTAATTGGCTTTTAAAAACACAGTCGTATTACATCGCACTCTAGACATTCATGCTCGCAGCATCTTGTCAAACACTTTTAATCGGCTCCCCAGCACGCGTTTCAGATGCTACTCCTGAAAATTCTGCTCTCACTGAACTCCTATTCTTGTATTTCCCATTACACAAATGCTACGTGATACCTGTTGATGAGTAGGTTTATTTCCTTCTTCAAAAGAGTGTCGGCATTTAAACGCAATTCTCCCAGCAAAAACAATGCTGTGGGTGACCAAGCCATCGCGATCACCTATTGTCCTTCCCCCACACCTCCGATTAGAATGGTTGGCGACATAGGGTGCGAAGGTCAACATACGCGCATACATGCTATTTTGCTGCTGCTACCAGCATTCCTTCCCACAGGAGAGAATCTCGTTGCGTCAAAAATGTCACGTGGCTTGCCGTATATCTTTGCCATCTCTTCCATGCAATCGTGGAAACGTGCCCTTAGCTCCCGAGTGACTCTTAACCGCACCGCGAGAGCATTATACTCGAGAGACACAGGTAAATCCTCTTCATCCCACCATGCAGAGTTTTGTTGCAATTTCATACTGCCTCATAAATTATCCCCCGCTTTACAACTGCTGCATACATTGTAAATGTGACTCTAAAAGCTCTCCATATCGCAATTCCTGCGTTCATGAATCCAGTCCCACAACTTTAAACGCTCTCAAAAACTACTTGAGTGTTCTTTTTTCGGGGGGATTATTTATGCCTTTGATCAACAGCTCTCCTCAAGGGCTTCACCTTGGCCACATTGCTACCTACCAATGATGTATCTGCTGATATTCAGAGCTGGATTACATTAATGTCAAGATTACACTTATTATTACATTTTTTGCAGCATGGCTGTGAAGAAAGGTGTTGTTAACTGTCCCTTTTCAGAAGTATCCACATAGGAACCTGGATAAACATTAATATGTGCAGACCTCAAAACAGTTTGTATAAATATTGATATCAGCCAAACACGCGGTGACATTTTTAGGTCTTTAACCAGTTAATTAAAAGGTTTGACAAGCACCAAACCGCGTTCTCTTGAGACGAGAAGCTGAGTCTGTGGTATGATTTGTGGCTATTTGCCAAGTAACCTTTAAAGATATAATTATATTAATGACCTTTATTTACCCAGGAAAGCCCCAGTCTCTGAACACTCTTTTATAGAAGAGTCCAGCAAAGCGATATTTGGCCCATTCCGTTAATGAGGGTTTGGCATGTGGGAAGAAACTGGAGAATCTGGACAAAACAAACAAAATTAGGGGATAACTGCCAAAGCTCAGCACAGATACATCCAAGTTTCCAATGCTGCATTTGCATTTCCTGGCCATCCAATGGTCATTGGTGCCCTGGCTGGGACTATACAACCTTGTGACATGTGGGTTTGTATTTTCATCACCTGCAGGGGGATCCATTCAGACATAATCCTTTAAAATAATAGGGAGATATTTTAGAGAAAACAACATTTTAATTAAAAGCCTCTTCACGTCTCCCAAAAAATCACAATACACTTATTAAAGATTTTAAAACCCCTGCTGATAAAATTGTTCCAACAAAGGCAGTCTTATTTTCTTACAACATTCAACGAAGCGTAAGCTTGAGACCATTGTGGAAACGACGAGAATCGTTAGAAATCGGTGCAGCATCCATATATGCCTCACCCTGAATGTAATCCTGAGCACGTGGTTGGCACTCGGTAATCGTCTATGGCACGAGGGACAGCATTGGGACTCACAAGCCTACAAACTGCATGTGCAGGACAAAGATTATTGGGAGGCTTATAGTGAGAGAAACGCACCTGCTGCAAACGATGATGATGACGGCGATGACCACAATGAAGACGATCCCAGCCGCGGCTGAGCCGGCAATCAGTGGGATCTGCTCTCGTATCATGTTTTCCCTGTCTTCTATGAAACACAAAGCGGCGTGCTCATTTAGGCTTGGGGGTGGGGGGGGGGGGGCGCGGTGGGGGGGTTGGGGGGTTACCAATCGCTCGTTGCGCCGGCAGCCCAGCGAAAGATCCGCGCAGAATCCAAAACAGAACGCGTTCGCCAAAAAAGAAACAATGCCACGTCTTGCTCGCCAATGTTTTTCCAACGCAGTCCCACGAATGATTAAAATTCCACCAGTATCATCTGCTGCTGGGAGCACGCGTGTCCCACCGGCGCTTGATAAAAGTTCACTCGCTCTTGCGCGACTTCATGCAAACGAAGACGATAATTGTAAACAGTCTGGCGCGGCGCGTGCACTCGAAGAGGCGCTCGGGGCCGCGTGCACGAGAGATTTGTGCGAGCGGGGGGTGGTGGTGGTGGTGGTGGGGGGGGGGGGGGGGGGGCAAGTGATCTGTACCTGAGGTGAGCGTCTGGAACAGCATCTTGCCACCGTACTTGCCGAAACCGGCCTCCGTGCGAGCACGCACTTGGAACATGTAGATGGTGCCGGGCTTCAACCCGTCCACCACCGCCGTGTTCGTCTGGCTCTTCACAGTGGACGAGTTGTGGAAGTCCTGATTCTGCGGAAGACATCGTCGTTTCGAACGCTCGTTCACTGGCCGATAACACCTCCACGTACAGAGAGATTAATGATGATGTTGTGGTGCTGCTGCTGCTGCTGCTGCTGCGTTGGCGGCGGTGCATACCCGACACCACCGCCTAAAGAGAATAGCATACACATTTCATCGGCAATGTTTCAGGAAATGGGCCTTCTTCACAGCACGTTAATACTTAGAAGATAGCAGAGCCTATGCGTTGAGATGCACTCTCTCCTCAAGAGCGAGGGAGTACTCTCATGGCGCGTTGCTCGTTCGAATAATAACTGTTGATCAGCCACCGAATGTTTTATTTTTGTATCTATTTTGCATGGAATAAGCTAGCATACTCAAGTAAAGATAAGTATAATTAATTATACTCCTCGTTTTCATCAATTTGTCAATCAACTGCTGGATGATGGCCTCTCCACGCTGTGTCAGCCGCGGGGAGGATGTTTGACCATTCTCCACCATGCCGACCTATGCAGGTTGGTTCAGGTAGCAGTGATGTCTACCATGGCTGAAGAAACTACGAACTCAAGCTTGCCTGGTTAAACGACCACCGTGCCATCATCAATCCACTCCGAGAATCAATTTATAGTTGACTATTTTTAGGATTTGGACATTTACCATGATTCTTTGTTACTTTTTGTTTCTGTGTTGTTCAATGCTCTTGATGATTATACAGCACTATATCTTCATTATTCCAACTATTTTCGCTTCATTGAACAATAATCTTTTCCCTGGTCGTTTACATCAAGATTTGTATTCCTCTACGTTTCCGTTTGAAATGCTTGTCTAGGTGGGCTATTACCTTGTTCGAAATAAAGTTTAAACGCATTGACAGAGGGAAATTCAATTCAAATAACTTTTCTTACTTTGGTAAGACTCATGCGTACACATGCCAATCTAACACAGAGTTACATATGCAGTTAATAAAGGAAATTAAAAGGTAAGATTACATGTTTTCTGAATTAAACTCTGAATTATCTTGCCACGGATCGATATATTCAAACTACATAGCAGTTAGCAACGTTTTTTTAAGTTGCTTTATAAACACTGCTTTGCTATGATTACATATTTTAATGGGTTTATGATTGCAGCATATTCTCTATTAATCATCCTTTAACCCTATTCATAACCTCAACCTGCTAACCCTCTCGTATAAATCACAAGCCAGTTAAAAGCCGGCCATTAATAAGGCGTCTGAGAACGCCAGTAATTCGGTGTAATAGCAAGACGGATGTTGCTCTTGTTACTGGCTCTGTGTTTACAATATGTATAAACACGGTGACAGCGAATCACAGAGACACACACCTCGCCCCGAAGATAAAGATCCCTCGCGTAGCCATATAGACTGCCGCGGGGCACTGTTAACGGGTACTTATTAAGGTGCAAAAAGTGGTAGTGTGGCCAGGACCAAGTCTGCCCTGATTCTGTCTCCCCAGTGATAGTGCTTACACAGCACACCGGATACTAATTTAAGGCTGAATTTACCGAGTGGTGGTCCCAGGAAAGGTACCAATACCCTTCGCCACTCATGTTCGCTGTGGCTACAAATGTATGGAAGAGGCTGGATTCGGAGAGTAGCGTGGTAATCACAGTACTAGTTCTCCCCCCCAAAAAAAGCATACATGCAAGTAACACACACACATATATGTTGTGCAGAGATATAGGTAAAAGACCACGTGCTGTAACAATGAGGAACAAACTGTAATCTTCTCATATTAGGAAATTACTGCACATCGTCATCATGTCTGGAAATACTCAGCTTGTGGTTAATTTTAATGAGCTTATGACAAAAGCTGCTATATATATTATTTTTTATATCCCTGCAGAATCAGAAGATGCATTTAAACTGGAGGAATCTGATGAGCTATAAAGCTCTTTTTCACAGATCTCCAGTAGGGGCAGGCAAGAACGTGACAACAACAACAACAAACAATCCTTGACACTTTAGAATCAAGGATGTAATGTAGAGAGAGAAAGAATGAGAAATAATAGGAAAAGAACGGAAAAAAGGAATAAAAAATGGGACCGAGGGGGGAAGAAAGATGAGGATAGGCCCTCGACGATGCCGCATGGAGCCTCGTCTGTAAACGCAGGGGGCAGGGCAGAGGGCAGGGATTCGGTGGGGGTGGCCACACGATTTCAGCTTCATTCAGATATATAGATTGCTTAAAGGGGAGCGAGGAGGTCTTGTTAGGCGTGTAGTATGTATACACGCAGGCAATGCGTGTGACGTACGTACTGGTAGCCCACGAGTTGCATGTTTATATGTACGTATATGCACCATCACACTTGTGCGTACTATCACCTAGCGTACTAGCGTGCGTCCACGGCTCATGACCCGTGAAGTATAGCACGGCGTGTTGCTACTGCATCTTGTGTACGTGACATCAACGTGTACATGCGGCTATACAGATCAGTGTACATGCAAACACGAACACTTTCATTCATGATTCATTTGCCAATTGCTGCCAATCCTTGTCTCAGCAGTATCTCAGTGATAATACTTTAGTGTCGATTATTTTTAGCATCCATTCCCTCCGGCATGATCTCCGAAGTTACGCTTCACGCGTTGGGAACCTCACCATGAACCGAATCTTCCACATACGTACACAGTTTCGCCTAGATTATCAGTTCCTGCATACGTTTTTCGGAAAACGTGTCGGGCCGCTTACACGGCACAACCTCGAAAAGCAGCGGAGTGGTCTCAACTTCACCTTCACCGGAGGCTCGTTCTTGTTCCGCAACTTTCCCAGGACTAAATGGACGAAAGGGGACTTTGCTCACCTTTTCACAGTAGCGCAGCTCATAGTCCAAGATGATGCCATTGGGCTGATCGGGCTGAGGCCACGACAGCTTGATGGTGTTCATCGTGGAGCTCACGTGGTGCATTATGGGAACCTGTGAGGGGGCTGCGGTGGGAGACATGAAAGTAATGACAGCAACACTTTAGCTTCAGCTCACAATGCAAGCATTTGTATAGAATTACAGCCGTAACAACGTGGCCATTTTCAACGTTTTCCTCTCGCTGACATTGAAAACAATTATCAGCTCTTATATTCGTCAAAATACTATTTATTTGTCCATAACGGCAGGGTGAGAGAGGTAGGAGTGGCGACAGCGATTGGCACACTGGGCAATTAATCCAGCGACCTGATATCCATTCTGAGTGGCGAGTGATATCATCACCTGTCCGGGTCCAAACCCAACCCGCAATGGACAGCATGGTGAGGTATGGTTAAAGTGTGGTTAAACAACGCTCCTGACTGCCATGGCATGGCAGAAGGAGGGAGGGAGGGGCGGCAGTGAGCCTTCGTCTAGCAGTGGATTTACAAATGGCTCAAAATTATCGTCGTTATTTGTTTGCGGATGATGAATAATAAGGTGGGACAAAATGTGCAGGAGACAGCCACTGGGTATTCAGAGTGTGGCAATGACAAAGGGGATGACCAAAGAATTCAGAGTTAAGAGTCGACCTTGGAAGTCAGGTGCTAGCTTGACAACAAGCACAACAACAAAACCTACTCCAGGTTCTCGTGAAAGGGAGCAATGGCAAGAAGGGGTTGCCATCGATGAGATGGGAAATTACCTTCCATTGACCTTGAGCTTGACAAGGGTTGAAGCGTGAACCAGTGTAATAATTTCAGCGATATCAATCGGGCTATGAGAGCACGAGCATTAATTCAGAATATCTACATCTATTTTCCTGATTAACGTAGCTGATATACGAGTTTGGAAAGAGGGAAAGAAATTTAAAGACACCACGGTGAATGTTTACTTATTAATGGTAACGGTCAAGAATTCTAAATCATTAGACAATTTAATCAGTGCACACCATTTCCTTAACGTGCTGACACGCACACATTGATTGATTATCATGGTGTACGGCGATTGTTGTTGATGGTTGATTGATGATGATTAATGGCAAATGCAATGCCAGCAATGGTAGTTTAATTATTACCTATTTAATTATTTATATCCTGCTTGTTTACAGGATATTATATGTGTCATAATTGATTTAGCTCTTTAAATTATTCAGCAAAAAATAGTTATAATGTATCAAGTAAAAAAAACTATTCCATAAAAACAAAACTAACAATATTCATAGCGAGTAATTATTTTTGACCATTAATTAAACATGCTATACAGTAGCACCCGTTTAATTAGGCCAAGTTTTTATTTAGCTCTTTAAAAATGAAAGGGAAAAAATATGTAATTGAAAATATATTGAACAATTAATTATTATTCAAGGATATAACAGTCTCTACTTTAGACGTAAAAACGTTTTCGTAATTATTCTTGATCTAATTGTTACGAAAAATGTTCCTCTAGTGTCTCCGTTTGGGGTTCACAAATGTATAACACTGCCGCAGGACTGCTGGCACATTGGCCTAAATCTGTGAATTAGTTGTTATTTTCTAACCCGGGCAAATAATAAAATAATAATTAAAAAAAGAAATACCGACACTTTAACTTGACTGACATATGGTGTGATCTAAGGTTCTACTTGGATTTAGTACTAATCCTTTCAAACATCAAAAGGAAAATGGAAAAAAAAGATACAAAAGGAGGTGGTTATTTGAAGTGTTTCATGCGCAGATGTATGTCATTTTTAATTAAAATCAAGATGCGATTTCAATATCGCTGTGTAATTCCCTCACATTTAGTTTCCATACATTGGCACATGTTTGGTCATTATTATCATTGCAATTTTCGAAACTTGGCAGTGAATATGAAAGACGCAATTTAATTACTGTATCTGTTGCCATGTCTGTATAAATTCATATTTTAAAACAGAACATCTGTGTGCTCAACCAAAATAATTCACCAGGCAGACACTCTTTAACCTGCCTGAAAACATATACCAACTTATTAACTTTCCAACAAAGTGTGACCACTTATTTACAAAAGCCGAATAGAGATTTGTAAAAGCAGCTTGGAGTGTTGTTCCCTCATGTGTGTGGTCTTTCTGCTCGTACTATCTGGTTCCTACCACATGGCACATCTTCATTCGTTCATAGGATTGGTTAGACGTTCCAAAGCAGGGCCCTCCTAAAAAGGGCTTGAAACAGTCAGACTTTCCTTGATTAATAAATGACATTATTATAACATTATATAGCCCACGTTTCCATGAATTTACACCCCCCACATGGACTTCAAATGCAACGAAATTCATTTGAAGTTATGTTATTATTGAATTCCTTCGCGCCGTATGTAGCTAACTGTGGTAATTTTCGGAGGTGCCGAGGTAGGACAACAAGCTGAACACAAAAAGCGGTTCTAAATTAATTGTTTTTCATTTCTTTAGAATGTAACATCATTGTATTATACCTTTCTTAAGATTACATGAATGAATACACGATATACCTATATAGCTGTACTCATCATTATAATATGCAATGAGAATTCCTGCATTGGGAATGCAATGTAACCACTGATTATAAAATATTATAAAATGTGACCAATAATTAAAAAATAACAGAAACAAAGTTGGCATCGGTGAGGCCAATGTAACAGTTAATAACGAATATATCCTATAAAATATTGAAAAATATGATTAAAATTGCGATGGAATATTTCAAATATTAGTGGTTCATTGGTGGCTCAATAAGCCTTGTAAAATATACCATACATTAAATATTGACTTAAAGCTTTCGTGACTGCAGGAATTCATATTCTTAGGGTAGCCACGTAAATAATGTTATTATTTTGATTATTTTTTCTATCTACTACGTGGCTTTACCAAAAGACCCAAAGAATACCATACATTCCTACTATCAACACAAGTTTTTGCTTATATACACTTATATACATTTGTATGAATATATTTCACTGGCAGATGTTTTCCTCAATTTTAATAAATGGAAACGGATATTAAAATGAAGGAAAACAAAAGAATTGTGCTGCTCAAAAAATTCCAAACACCCAAAACACGTGCACGATGTAATTCAACCAGATAGCTGCAGACCAGCAAACATTGCTTGTCTACGATAAAACGTGTACATGACTCTCACACTATTCTCATTGTGCTTTCATAAATAATTTAGTCAATGTAGGTAAGCAATGCAATTTAAAACTCATCTTGCTGTGTTTTTTTTCCCATATCGAGATGAAATGTGATGTTTTATATACAACGTGCACACACAGATATAATTTATAGTCAAAAAACACCTATAATTATAATTATTTAAATTTGGAATTGCATTTCCATGAGACCTTAATGTTCAGATGAAGTGTGATTACTTCTCTGTAGCTCTGTGAATTCAAACAGCCCGAGAACGTGTAACTGGCACATTTTTTTACAAAATCAGAAGTTCTCTTTGGCTTTGTGTCCTTTTCTTAAATTATTCCGCTCACTCGCTGTGGGGGTTATCGGTGACAATGTGACTTAGAGACGTAGGCTACTAGGGCATGACTGCAATCTGCAATAAAGTTTTCTTGTTCAGAGTAAAGAAAAAAAGTATAGTTGGGTCAACAGAGATTTTAAATTTCAACTTTGGGTGCATTTAAAATATTTCCAAACAATATATATCCTTTATTTTTAATCTTTTTTTGCATCATAATAGTGGACAAATATTTGTAATTTTCACATCAGCATTTGAAAATAGGTGTTTAGGCTGGTTTAATTGATTGCGGCATTCCCAATAAAATATTAAACATCGTGATTTTTGTTTAAGACGTAGCTGACATTTTTGGTAGTTCAAAGGATTAATTTATTTCACATTTAATACACTGTGAAACTTGCCAGAGAAGTGGCTACTTGATACACGGTGGGCGGAAAATATTGTTCAAAATACTAATGCTTAGATCTGTCTCAATCAATGAAAAGCAATTTACTTGGCAAGGAAAGGCTATGCTTTAGAATTTGTCCCTAGAGCTAGATATAGTTCAAAGAGGCATTGAAATAGAAGTCGAACAGCATCACGTACTTTTGTATATATATAGGTCACTTTTATGAAGCAGTTTGCAAGATGACGTTTCATTTGCTTTAAGCAACAACAAAACAATTTCACAATTGATAAGGGTATCAAATGGAAAGTTAGAAAAATTAAGTTACAAACAATTTAATTAATTAGCATGCATATGTGTTCATTTTCCTGAATCTTAGGAAACAACTTGAACAATCCTGGGTGTCTTAGGTGGTTCATTCCATGTCAGAGCACTAAAGCCAGCATCATTGAACCGTGGTGTTCCAAGTATAGCGATCATCAGCGGCGGCACAATGGATCCAAACTCCAATTTCGCCCGTTCTAGCTCTGAGATTTTAAACAGGTATAAATGATGTACGGCATTTTGAGGATGTAAAAAAGATATTATTACCCCGAGTGTGTGAATAAAGAGGCCCGATTTAAAGAAACCACTGATATGATTGTCTGATGTCACTTTCGAAGGATTGTGCTCTGACACGGGGTGGTACACTGATAGTTTACAAAGATTCTGAATGGAAATGGATCCCCCTCATGACACGACGCCAAAAGTAATTTAACTGGGACAAAAGTGCGACGATAAATAAAATAAAATGGTGTTTTTACCAAGCTGCACCTTTAGCGGTAGGCAGGGTCACCCATTGCAATTTGGTTTCTCACATGCAGCTGCTTCCTTGGCTTTTCAGATTCTATTACTCTTTAAAGATCATAAAAGCACTCTAGAGTTTTGATGCATTGTAGAGACAACACTCAAGTAAAATGCCAGATATAAACACGTGACCTTGAAAGAAATCTCGACAATGTTGAAATGTTTTAAATATTTTCACAACGCATGCATAACATCTGAAATGATAGGGAACAAAGACACGTTTTCATAACATATATGTGTAAGTGCTGTTTTTCTATACTTTTAAACGTATCAGTAAGAAAAATATCATGAAAAACGATCAACAAATACTAATTCAAAGCTCATCTCCACCTCTGTT